ATGTCAATGTCGAGGCTCTTCGACTTCCTCCGTGTGCAACGAGCCATTTCCCGCTCGTTCTCAGCTGACTGCAAATTCTTTTACGTTTATATTACGACGATAATTGCATACGACTATAGCAATTACATAAAAACATATTGATAAAGTTTTTTCATACGTGTTCAAATATTTAATTGTCGCTATCTCATTTAAATATCGAATTTCATTCCATTTTCGATAACTAATTTATATTATATTACTGTCATTATAGTAATGTTGTTTTATATGTATATAAATTAATAAAAATTACGATTTTACATAATCGCCAATCTAAAAGTACATTTATGCATCGATTGAACGTATTATATAATATACCTAATGTTGTATTACAGTTATTATAATAATATCATTTAATTCGATATAAAATATTAAACGTTTCGATTTTACATTAATATATCAATTTATATAAATACGTAAAATTATATGTACGTAAAGTTTATTACCTGTGTTAATACAAATGAAAAGATTCTACGAGGAAATACTTGACACATATTATGCGAATAATATCCTTACGTAAAGTTATTCGCTGACGCGTATACATATATATATATATGTATATATCTAAGTAAGGACATAGTATGAATCAATAGCTGCATATTAGCTCAGATTAACGAGCGTTTTCTAGGCCATTGAATACTTGCTTTCCCAATTATGCCAAGTTCATAGTTTACGACGATACTAGTAATGAATAGCTTTGCTGACAATTACGAGAACAGAATGAAACAGTGCCAAGCATGTCGGCACACCGTTATCGTGATACCGTATATCCTATAGGAAACTTTACACAATAGCCAAAAAGAAATACTGATGCGGTCATCGCTATATATTAATGATGAGACTATCTCCAATGACGTCAAGTTACAAAGATCAAAGGTAATTCCCGTTCAAGAATGAAATGAAAGTTTTCAATTTAAATTCCAATCCGATAAATTGCACGTCAAAAATGATATTAGCCTAAGTAGACGAACCTATCGTATATACGTATAGGATGAAATTTCTCGATTAAAAAAAAAAAAATAAATAAATTACAATTTTCTAATAAGACGAGACGGTAAGTAATTATATATTCTAACATGATCTTTATTCACGAGTAAATAAAATAAATGTATATTACGCGTACAATATGTATCTTGTTTCAGATGAAAAAAATGTTATATCAAATTCATATCTTATTTTTTTTTTTTTTTTACAAAAAATCATCCCCTTCGCGGATATACCATGACCACCGTTTCACCCTATGTACAAAGTTTTTTATATAAATCGTAAAAAAATTATTTATGTATATATAATATTAAACAAATTCTTTCTATATATATAATATATCAATATATTCGCGTGGAAAATTTTGGACCCGAACGAATCACGGAGAAGAAATATCCGTTTATATATACCGTCTGCAAAGCTACATGCGGAACCGCAGAAACGCGTTCCAATTTCAACGGTCCATAGTGAACCGGCTGATATTGCAGTACCTAACTATGGAGTGGGCAGGGAAGGGAAGGGAGCTAGGGGGAAGGTTTAGGTTTGCGTATTTGCTTTTCCGACTCCTCTCTTGAACGATTCACCCTATGTACTCGTCTATACGTTCTCTCGAACATAATCCCTCTTTAGCGAAAGATACATCGACGACACATTTTTTTACTCGAACGCATACCAACGTAACACATATGTATATATGTTAGCAACGTTACTTTGTAAAATCCATTAATTCGTGAAATAATCAGCAAAACTCTGCAATAACAATACTGAAAAATGGCAGAATTACATACTTCAATTAAATAATGCATGAATTTACAAGAGACCATTAGTTAAGGTATAGAATTTGATATCAAATATAAGAACAATATTCGATTTATGTATATTATATATAGATATATCTTTTTTGTATTATAAAATAAAGAACGTTAATAACGAAATAATACCAAAAAGAAAAGATCGAGATCTTAAATTTCCACGAGGAAAAGATAAACCTCTAATCGTTCGGAAGAAAGAAGAAAAAGGATAAACTGACATAACGAACGAAGGTATTTCTCTGTATTTTCTTTGCCGCCTACGAAAAGATACAATGCCGGGTATTCATTGTGATAAATCAAGTACGTGAAAGGCCTTCATTGTGACAGACTCCCTTCTCCTTGCCGCACGATCATTGGCGAACCTCACATAGAACAAGATTTCAAGCGGGGAAAACTGCACGAGATCTTGCTCCTTTAGTTCGAATAAGTTAGAAGAAAATAAAATACTGAAAATGAAAAAATAAAAAGTGTTCGGAGAAATGCGATAGTAGTTATGGTTTTTCTTATTATCTCGTACTCCCTTATAACTTTTTTTCTCTGATTCTGAAAGTACACCTTCCTTTTGTCATTTACCACGTCGTAAGTTCCTTTCGAATTCATGAATTTCCTTTGGAGTTCTCCCAGAATACGTTTGCGTCACCATAACGTTTCCTTCTTATACCACCATCCTTACCCTCTATGCGCACATGCGCTCGCGCGCACACATTTTACCTTCTTTTTAAATTTTATTATTTCTCATCTTTTCTTCTCTTAAGTTTTTTCTCTCTCTCTCTCTCTCTCTCTCTCTCTCTCTCTCTCTCTCTCTCTCTCTCTCTTCTGTTTTTTCGTCCCTTCTTCTCTCGAGCTATATTTTATCCTCACAGAGAGACGTTACCGCTGGCGAGATTAAAAATTTTAATTCAACGATGATCGTTCTCCCTTTCTTTAGATACTAAATTTTTACCAAGGCTACATCCTTGATAGGAGAATACACGAAGAAAATAAAAAGAAAGATAGAGAAGCTAGTACCACGATACACGTGAAATTAAAATTAATTGGCCATGAGTCATTAGATCCAAGAAGTAAGATTTGATCTTTTATTCGACTTCCAAAATATTTGATTTTTATTTTATCCAAATGAAATAATCGTAGATCAAAAGTTTATAATTACGTAGGAATGTAAATATAATATGTTATACTTTTTGATGATAAAATAATTTGACTAACAAGCAAATGGATTAAAATATACGCGTAATACTTTCCTAAATCCACTTTGTTAGAGTCAATTGCAAGCTCAAGGACGAGAACTAGGTTCTCTAAACCACGGTACACTATGTGGTCTAGTCGACGAGACAGGTGGATGCAATTAAACCGGATCGTTCGAGTTCTCTTGCAATTGCCCACTCACTCACGATAACGCTACTTTCTTCTTGTTTAAAATAAAGAACGATCAACAGGAGATGAACGTGGTCCAATTAATAAACAACTCGACAAATGTTGCGGTCTTCGTTTATAAAATCATTCCGACGTGATACATAGCAACATTGAATATTTTCATTAAAATTATTGCAAATATCGTATTTATTACGGTTAATAATGTTTTGAATACAAGAAAACGAAAATGAAAACCGATCTTTGATACAATGTAATCTTGCGCGTGTCGTGCTAAATTAAACCGTGTCGAAGTTATTTATGTCTTACTAAGAAATAATCTTATTTTAAACTAATATATAAACCAGTATATACATATATACGTATTAATTTACTCTACTATTATTAGTAAGTATAAACTATTTTTATAAAACAATATCTATCGATAAATTTCTTATATTAATTTAAAAAATAACATTTTTTTCACAATATATTGACGAAATAAATGATAAGAACTTGTTCGATAAGTTTCTCTTAGCAGATTACGATTGTTATACTTTTCTTATACGAAATAATAAGCCAAAGTCTATTTAGAGAGCTTGCATGCTGACCTAGCACTAAAATCACTCGACCTATATTCGCTTTCAACTAAATGTGCACTCGACCAACATAAAACATTATCTTACTGATAGAACCAATTCGTCGATCCATCGAAGCATTGAAATTCATCAAAATTGTATATATTATATAAATATTTGAAATATTTGGTAAAATAAAAAATAAATCAATTATACGCTACTTGTGTGTGTTAATTAATTCTAAACAAAATCTAAGTAAATTCATACAATAATGAAAATAAATAAATGTTATTGTTAAAATTTATACGTATTTAAATAAACATAAATGTTAATACAGTTAATAACGATTGAATTAATGATCGAAAAGCATATTCATAAATCGATATTCAATAAACATAGATTATCGTATCTATGTAACTAAGCTCCTATCTATCAGCCTTTATTAACTTAAACAAATCGGGCCGATATCAAGTTGTTCGAAGGTGGTCGTCAACGAACACGATAATCTCTATGTATAGTTCTAGCAATAGTTACATATATAGCCGACACAAGCAACTAGTCGACTTTAATAGCTTCTTAGGTAACATGTATTTTTGCATATCTTTTAACTTCAGCGATAACGTACAAAGGTTAAATTCAAATATGCTACGTTTAAGTCAGTAAAAAAAGCTACCTTTCCTGTAGAAATTAAACTATAAAGCATTCTATCTAATGCGTATTAAATTAGAAAAAATTCTTCTATTACATGAACCGGTTTGCATTGTAAAGAAACAAAACAAGAAAAAAAAAAGTCATAAGATAAAAACGTTTATATAATCATACAATAAAATGAAAATATCTTTTTTAAAACGCAACTTTTCTCGAATAACGAAAACACGAAGTGTTCGTAAAGTAAATCTTTCCAGAACTTAAATTTGTATACTACTTAAAATGCGGTCCACGTCGTCCGAATACTAAACATTTTCCGTACGATATTTTTTTCGTTGATGGATAAGCTTAACAACAATCGCGAATGAATAATTCAAATTTCTTTGGTGAAAAATCGCGGCGACTGTGATAACGGCTACTCTGAGCAATGATTAGATGAATTAAATTAAACACAATAGGGATTACTTTATATGTGAAGAAAAGAAAAGAGGCAGATAATCAAAAAAAAATTAGCTAAGAAGTGATCGATCAATTTTCACTTGAATAAAAATGTATAGAAAATAGAGAAGGGGAATTGGGGAAATTTACTTACTCTGGAGATTCGTAAGGGTTGGTGCAGGTCACTTCCTCCGTGCATTCGGAAGCCCCAAGGGGAGCCGCCAAGGAGGATGATTTCTCTGGCGCTCATCATCCACCTCCACCTACACCTCCACCACCACCTCCACCTCCACCTTTCCCTCCACCACTTTTACTTCCACCCCTCGTTTATATTCTTTCAACGCAAGCACGAGACGCGCGCTTCTTGCCCGCGGCGCACTTCGCACCTCGCCGCTCGACGCACCTCTTCTTTCACGTGTACCAAGATGATGACAGCGACGTTGACAGCAAGGATTACAGCGAGGATGACGATAACACGACAATCAATGAGAATAACAACAAAGTCAAGAAGAAAAGACACGGTACACGCGATTCTCGATTCCACCTCGTCGTCGTTCCAACTTGTACTCTTCTATCGTGACGCCTTCGCTCCTCCAAGAGTTCGTAGTTCATGATATTCACCACGCAATTCGCTAGTATCGCCCTGGATGATTCTATCTCTCTCTCTCTCTTTCTCTCTCTCCCGTATCACACTGGGCTCATTAAGCGTTACGCGCTTTTTACGTCTCATATGTATTAAACTTGTAAGTAACGTTGGCTAATTTACACTATACGTTAACTTTCCATGCATGACATCCTACAAAGAGCGGATTATCCGCGAGGTTATCGAATATTCAGAGAGAAAGAGAGAGAGAGAGAGAGTGGGAGAGAAAGAGAGAGAGAGAGAAGGATTAAACGATGTCAATAACGTGACAGAACGTTAATAAGACGGAACAATCTTGCTCGACACCTTAAACATACTCATATTATCCGAATCTCGGCGTGGCTCGCGTTAGACTAACGTCGAATTTCGTATACCTCCCCCGGCAGACCTCACCGCCCCCGTCCACGAGCCCCCACCACCACCTACCCCAACCCCCCACCACTTTACACAGCTCAGTAGTCTCGGCAGCCGTCAATCGCGAGCCGCGCTCGCGCCATCCGCCGGAGACGCGTGCCTCTCTACCCCTCTCCAACATTTTACCACCATCCACTCCATCAAGTTCGCTCGACCCTCGCGGAACTCAACGGAACTTGTTCATGCACCACCACCACCACCATTCCCCCCCCCTCGCGCCCCATCCTTCCCTATTCCTCTTCTTATTCTTCTTCATTCCCTTATAATACTACAACTAAAGCTCTCCGACAGTCTACTCTTGTCCGGATTTCGAGTATTCCATCTTGTTAAAAGAGAAATCAAAATAAGTTTTATTTCTTAAAATTATCCAAATTCACTCTTTACGAATAATTTCATTGATTATAATTGATATTATGTAATACGTAAAGTCTTATTATGATATATATTGTATATGTACTTTTATATATAGAACGTATAAGGAACGGTAATTTGCACTTATCCTTTATAACACTGGATTAAGTAATTGAACGAAGGAGATACCATAGGTTAAATCATAATAATTGGATGTCTGTGATTATACTTAAAGAAATTCGTTATTTATTTTCTTCTTTTCTTTTTTCCTCTTCGTTACTTATTTAAATTTGAGTATTTTATATCCTCTTTATTATTTCGTTTCAATAAGTTTGTGAAATAATGTGATCTCTGTAGACAAAATACATTGCTGCTGATAACTTGAACGCTTACATGCGGAATGCTTACGATGCTCGATTGATTTTCTTGTTCCATAGCCTGTGATATATATGTATTTTATATTAAAGTACAAATAAAATTATTCTTTTAACATAAAGTAATTTTTATTTAATTATTTGTTTTGAGAAATATTATGATATCAATCTACGTATGTGTGTAATATTCTTAATTATTATGCAAAATAATAAAATTATGAAAAGATTTAAAGATGCTTAGCATGTTAACTGAAAACGATAAAGATCTAACTTCTTCGATAATAAAAAAATTAATAAATAATAATATACTCTTTTTACTCTTCACTCTTTGCAATTCAATCCACGCACTATTTTATTTTCGATTGAGATAAATTTTAAATATCATCGTTTAAACATTTCCCATTAATAGGTTAATATCAAAGCTTTGTTTAATAAATTGTGAAATATGATATATTTTTACAATCACTTTCTGAGGCATCCCATGTTAAATGTTTAATATAATAGGCATATTGTTAGTGTGTTATAAATTATTCGTATCTGAACGTACATTTTCCGATAGCGTATGTTCTTAATATCTGAACATCCATTTTTGGAGGGCGTATATATATGCACTATCTTGAATATAATAAAGTTAACAATTGTTTCTTTCTTTTCTTGACAATTATTATAAATAAATTATTATTTGATCTTAAAACGTGACAAGAATAACATTAAATTACATTTTAAATATGAAGATAGAATATGAAGAACATATTAAGTATTTATATCAATTTATATTAAATTATATAAAAATAACATTTAACATATTGCTTTCATATATATATTGATATATATATAATAATTCTTTTTTATAATGAAATATTTGCGTTGTTACTACTATGTCGGAAACATTTCACGCATGAACAGGTGGCTGCAGTTTTGTCTCATCGAAATTACCAATTGATCATAAGAGCAACAGTATTACCGACCGATCGTAAAAGCAACGAATAGAATTAACACAGTAAACTCTCATGGTATTTTGAATAATAAGAAAACTGAATTATCAACAGTAAAAAATGCAATTGTTTAAAGAAGAGCACAAAATAAAAATAATATTGTTGTCTAAAAGCACGGAATATAAATTCGACGTATTGTTCTCTTCGGAATCCACCGGTAAACTGACACGTTGCCTTCTGTATAAGTTTTTTTATTCAATATTGTTTATATGACTTTCCGAAAAAGGAAATTTTATTTATTACGAATATTATTCTCATTATACACATGCGCAACGTTCGGAAAGTCATGTTAATAACATTTAATAAAATTACTTTTATAGAGGACAACGTGCCAGTCTGAAGGAAAATTTCAAGGAAGACGGTATACAGAACATATACTCTGAGCTTTTAGACAACAATAGACACTTGCATCGATTAATTAACAATTATTTCAATTTTACTTATATAACAGGAAAATTTTACCCTCGTTTACCACTGCGCAGGAGCAGTAAAATAATGACATCAAAATGATAAAAATGCTAAAATTAGAGCGTTATAATCTTAAATTTTATTGATTAAGTAGATTATTTCCTTTATACACATGCGCAACGTTCGGAAGGGCACATAAACAAAATTTAATAAAAGAAATTTTACAGAGAACAATGATTAAGTCCAACGGCGAATTTCGAAGAGGACGGTACACAGGAGATATTCTTCGAGCTTTTAGACAACAATAGACACTTCTATCGATTATTTAACAATTATTTTAATATTTTAATACACTCTCTTTATATTTCAAATTGTTTAAACATATATGTACTAGTATAAGCATTATATACTTATTAACATACTTTGAATAGAAAATAATTTTAATATATTTTTATTTTATATTTTGCTTTTTTTAATTAGTTTTCTGTTAAGACTAAGAGTGATGTTTCTTAAAATCGTTCTCGGTTAGATAATCTTATTTCCTTTAAATTTAATTCGGATGTAAACATCTTCAGGGTGCACATCCCTCGTGGGTCTTCGGAAGCGGTTACCTCCTCATGGTTAGACCTGGGCAATGGTGTTTTACTTTCAGTATAATGTTTATCATATTTTATATGATATACATTCCATTGCAAGTAAAATCCAGCCAAAGACCGCTTATCATAAACATTATTATGATAATTAGTTTCTTTCATTTTCCTAATTAATATCATATTCCTTTACTCCTTTCCTTGGTTCTTTCTATCCATTTCATTTATAGAAACTAATTACTTTATAATGTTTTTTAATAAATTTGATATTTTTTACAGATACCACTATTTCGACTATATTTAGTAACAGCCAAAGCTCGTCATGGAGGTTTTATTAAGTAATCGAAATTTCAACCACTTGTAAAATTCTACTTCATCCGCCATCACTTCTTCCAATACCTTTTTCGCTCGAGCTTTAAGATTTATCGAACGTTTCGATGGATAATTTTCTTTCGGTCCTGCGAATACAAATTGATTTAATAATCATATTATTATCATATAAACGTAAATATAGTAAATTATAAAGAAAGAAAATCAAAATACTTACGCAACTTATTATATATTCGTAGGGAACCGATAAAAAAGTAAGGAAATTCCTTTTGGAGAACGTGTAAAGTTTCTTCCATGTAATCGAGAAGACCGACCACTGGATACCATCTAACAACGTTTGCCTTAGCTCTTTTTAACGCCCATTTGTTATTTCTCTTACTGATAGATTAAAAAGAAAAATCCAAAATATATATTACACGGATATTCGATTGAAATCTTTCTATTATCATATAAAAGAAATCGATCACGACTATTCATTACCACGTGAAATCTTTTTCAAACAAAAGGGACATCTTTTATGAGACAAAAACAAAAAAATAGTTAGGTTTCTCTAACAGCTATGGGACGAGTTTCTATATACGGTATGTAAAAGTAGTTCATTGATCTTAATTTCTCGCTATGGTCATCCTCTTACTCAACCTTTGCCAAGAGAACGTAAAGTAACTTTACGTAACTCTTAACTTTGAGATGATCCGAAGTAATAATGATAAGTTATTCCCTAATGTAATCTGATTCATGCGATCACTTAATCGAATCGACTATCGAAAGTTTAGTTAAGAGGTATGTATTATATTTTGATTCAAGGAACATCCTCAATCATTCTCGCAAAACTGGTTATTCTACTTATTATATTGAATATCTATGCATCTACGTCAACGTTGATATACGTACGAGCAACGAGGATCCTGTCCGCAAAAATGTGAGATCGTACCGCGATAAAGAACAGCAGCACCGCCTTTCCGATATCTGTTTAAAATCAAAATCAAATTAATATAATGAAACGAAAATGAATTAAATGCAATTATTTTCTTTAGGGAAACGGGTTAAGGAAGAAGGAATTATTATTTAAAGGATTATTCTGATCGAGAACAACGCAAAGATAAGAGTAAAAATATAGAAATGAATTTTGCTTTTGAAAACAATTGAATTTCTTACCTATATAGAGTACGTGGATCCAAAGGATCCCTTACTAATGCTAAAAATGTTGGTGCCTGACGACCGAATTCGGAAAAATTTAAAAACCTTACGTCTCCATCGAAACTCAATGGAATAGCTTCTTGTTTTATAATACTTGTAATCTCTTCCACGAGAAGTTCCTGTCGAATTCAACACGCAAATGAATTAATCGTACAATTAAATTTATTCACAATTTCTCATAACTCGTAAAATATTAACCGGATATATATTGCATACATCTATATTTTTTTTTTCCATGAATGTGCAATAGTGTTCATTAAGTGGACGAAAGTGCTATACTTTTCCTTACGAAAGCAAAGATACTTGTCTTACTTGTTGAACGAAAGAAAGGATCAACGACCGGTTTTCCGGATCTTTGTGTGATTCCATCAGATAACTCTGATACATTCACATTTGCTCTAGTACCAAGAAAGTAAATATATGTATTAGCGTTAAATTGTATAATTCAATTAAATCGTGGAACTAGGTTTTACTCGAAGTAACAAAGTGTTTTTTGGGAAAGCATATTATAGAAAGAATTTTATTATATATGGCACACAACTAGTAGTTTTAAAAAATAAAAAGTTTATATATGAATTCAATTTGTTAACACAGCCCACTATACGTACATATATACAAGAGGCTTTTATCCCATGTTAACAGTTATTTACAATTATTTGCAATAATGGGACAAGATGTATTTCTTCGAGACGTTCAAACATCTTCCATTTATGAGAAACGTCCTCGAGTGGCTCACACAAAGATGGAATGCATTGCGAAGCGCATTCCTCGTTCTCATTCAACTAATTGTTTCCTTTCTTGGTAAAACGTATTTTATATTTATTAATAATTTTTTTTAAATCAAGGAAATATTCATATTACAATAAGTATTTATAATACAAGAAATGTATTAGTCAAATCCAATAATATGTGTTAATAGAAAATAATGTTAATAAAATAATTACATTTTTATACTGCACTTTTAATTTGTTTACAGAGTATAATATACATGCATAGATATGTGGTGCAGATATAATGATAAATATATTATATGAAATATAAGTGTAATTTAAAGATATAGAAAAGGAAGATTTCTTTTAAGAGATGACTAAAATTTACCTGTTGCAGCGTTGTCAAAAGTCCAGAATCGCCAGGTGGCAAACGAATATGCTTAAAGGCATTGTAACCTTGCAAACGTTGCAAAATCAGCACCAATAGTTCTGCACCAGCACCGGGTACACGTGTCAGCATAAGTACGTGCTTATTCATCTCGGGCAAATTTCCACGACCGCCCAATTCAGCCAAGGAAGGCGTGACGTATCGATATGTCTGCTTAACAATCGTACGATAATTTATTGAAAAGCTTTAGACAAACCTGTCGGACTTGATTAGGATGATGTGACTTCGTAAAAATGAGGAAAAAATGAAATAGAAAATATCCTTTTGCAAGTTACATTTTATTGAATTTATTTGAATTTGTTCAATTTTATATTAAATCGTGCAATAATTGTTACTATAAATTTGAATAATTATATCATGTTCTCCGAATAATTTTTGATAGATAACGCACGTTTTCGCTTTTAAACCGGTTTACTCATAAACATACCTATGCAATAAGAGAGAGACAGAGAGAAAGTATATCGTTCGATATGATTCATTCGATAAACACGTTTAATGAATAAATAATTTGTTTAAAATGTAGACATTGTGTTTTATAGTGAAAGACGATGAAAAGGACGTATTAAAAAAGTAGCCTTGCTATTCGAGAGATCTACACCTCAGAAACGTGAGAAAGAAGCATATAAAGCGTGAGAAGATCACCTCAACGCGATTGCATCCTATGGTGATGCACTTTCACTGGAGACACGTTCCTCTGTTGAAGCAAAGTCGAATAGAGAATCGTGAATTCTTCAAAATGACAACGAACTTACATTACGATGTGTGCATTTAAAAATAACTTTCATTCAAATTATTCAAATTCTTCTTATATATATAAAAATGTTTCCATAAATTCTCTCAAGGCAATAAAAATGATTAAAAATATAAAATACTATACATTTTGATGAGATCGAAATTATCAATGATAAAAATGTTCTATGCACACATTTCTCTAAGTGATTAAAATTGAAAAGGATAAATATTATTTTCTTCGACTGATCACCTGGCTAACGTTGGATTCATAATTTTCGAGAAAACGAACACCCTCTCTATCGGAATCGCGAGGCTCGATAGTGACATCAGCGGAAGAGTTGAATGTGATCGTACTTGACCTTGAATTTAAAAAGACGAACACGAGAGTGGCACCAAGAAAAATGCCAGGAAGAAAACCACGATGAACACGCATTACGATCAATGAACGACACCCTAATGTTATGTACAAAATAATTGTCCTATGACTCCTCGAGCTCTTATTTCGATTATCCGTGTTCCTGTGTAAGTCTACCGAGTAACTGAAGAGAATGTCAGTGGGTCAGAGACTTCGCATTGGCCGATCCCCACGTCTTCAACGTAGAAGAGATCCGAGGGTTCCCCACCTCTTTCCTGTGAATCACAAAACTGATTTTAGATTCGACCAGAGGATAAAATAATAGTCAAGTTCATCGTTCTTTTTTAATGTAAAACGAATGGTCCTTGAAAACCTAATCGCCTTCTATTCACACTGACTGGACTTTGGAATCTCCTTCAAATAATTATTTCGACTATAATACTTTCATCGATTAATATTAACTCTTTTTTTTTGAGTAGAAGAAAACCAAACATTATTGATTATTTAAACTTTGTGTTTCATTAACTAATTAAACAAAGTTTATTTTAATATAGGATTTACGCAAGTAGACAATTAGAAAATGAAATCAACGAACATTATTATTAGAGTCGGAAACGTTAATATGCGATCGAGAAAGTTTTCTTACAACTGATACGAATAAAAATGCGTTCGGTGAAAGCTATGACAAATGATATGATTTCTACGACTCATGTATACATGCAGTTACTTATATATTAAATGTAGAAATTAATTCAGTGCTTTTTTTAAAACAAATATAGTATTTATTTATAAAGTAATCGTACATCTGTGTTATTCATCGAAATAGTTTGCATTATTTTCGATGACTTTGATACATCTTTTCAAACTCATGCAACCCCTAATTCCCACTTTTTAAAACCAAAAAGCAAGAAAATAAAAATATAAACATATTTTAAAGGAACTCATATAGCGCGAAATTTAAAGAGATTTAAATCGCGCGAAATTTGAAAAAGTGAATGTTTGATTGGTCAATAATCAGCCGGCCGGCATGGTGGCGCCAGGAGTCCACGTGGTACATAAGGTATGTGTGTATACGTGTGCTTCGGGATTCTTCTACCATCAAGTTTATTTGTAAACACGCGCATCAATGCGCATTGCCTCGTAAGATGGACGCGTACGAATCACGTAAGAGAGATTGGGAAGATTTAGATGTTACCAGGGAAGAATTGAAAAATTTAACTGAATGCTTGAAAAAGGAAGAATTTCGTAAATTACTTATCGAATACGCGGAAGAAGTGACCGATCCAGAAAATCGTAAGATTTATGAAAATGAGATCACACAATTGGAGAAGGAACGGGGCGTCGACGTCACGTTCGTTAACCCCCAGCCTGGTTACGTCATAAAAACTAGTGTCAATGGAGAGAAGAAATGTTTTTTAAATATTAGTAAAAGTGACATTGTTGCACGACCTACGAGTCATCCTTCATACGAGGATGGTCATCGTGGTTTACAATGGTCGATTCCATATACTCTGATACCTCCTCGCGATGACCTTGATAAAAAAAATGTTCGTTGTCTCGTCTTCGATGTGGTATTTCATCCTGACACAATTTACCTTGCATCCAAAAATTCTAGGTTTCGTGACATCGTTAATAACACTGCAATAGATGGTGTAGAAAGTAATTTTAAGGTTAATATATACAGGATTCTATTAATGTATCTTTACTGGATTTATCAATTATCATTTATTATTTTTAGGTGCAACTCGACAGGAAAAATTTGAAATTTCCTAAAATGAACTTCAAGGGTATCTCTCATCCAAGCGTAATTAGGAAACAGTCTAAAGAACCACCTAAACAGTCCTTAGACACGAATCCAGAAATTTATCAAAAACTTATGTCCAGTTATGATGAGAACCGTGAGCAACAACAGTTTAAATACAGAGAGGAGAAGCCCAAACGCGCACCACCTGAAACCATTTATTACAAGAACAAGGAGTCTAAATTAGAAACTGAGAATGGGGAATATGTCACTCCAAAATTCCTGATAAAACATCAGACGGATGTTGACATGGAAGATTTTGTTGACAGTAGAGATGGAAAAATGTATGCAACTATTCCTAAAAAATTAGTTATCATTATAGATTTGCCTTTGTTAGGAAAGGCAACTGATGCTGTTCTAGATATTCAAGAACGCTCTCTTTACTTGAAGAGTGAAACACCTGCTAAATATTTCTTACATTTACCCCTGCCATATAGCATTGACGAAGATCATGGTAACGCCAAGTTTGATTCTAAATACAAAAAATTAACAGTAGTATTACCAGTCATTCGTAAATTAGTGATGTTAGAAGAAATGCAGAAAGAAGACAGTGACATGGATAGTGATAGCAATAGCTCATTACCTATTGTATCCAACGAATTAAGTGAAAATTTATCTACCATGGAGCCAACTATGAGTGATTCCCTTTCAAATTTAGTTCTAGAAGAAAAAACTATACCAATGGATACTATACCAATAAATAACAGTGAAACTTCAGATAACAATGTGTTGTGGACTACTAATTCGTTAGAAACTACCATACCCTTTATGAATACCGATATAAAATATACACTGCCATCATTTGCCTGTAATATGTATGACAATCAAATAGCTTTTACAGTCAATGTTAAAAATGTTGACCCAGATTCCATAAAACATAGAATCTTAAAAAATAACATAGGAATACATATTTTACTTGCATCAATGGGTGCAGGATTTTTCCCACAGCACTATTCTTTATGTTTTAAGGTAGAAGAAAGTTTTATAGAAAAAGATTCACTTATTATTGAACCATGGGATAATAATCTTGTATTTAGTATTAAGTTAAATAATTCTGATAATGTATCTCACTATCTTGTTGGCGTGAATGAAGAGTTCATGGAAAGAAAAGAATTATCAAGCACCTTGTCATTCAAGAATAAATTAAAGGAACTAATGGTAAGATTATTAAATCTTATTATATTACATATATAAATTTAGAATGATTCAATAAACATATACTTTTAGAATACAGAAGAGAAAGATTCTGAAATTCCACTAGAAGTCAATGTTCAGAAAGAAGATAATTCTGTCATCATAAATATTCGTTCTAATCAGCTAGATTCTGATGATGAGCACGAAGAAGATGAACAAAATAATGTAAATCAAAATAGGAAAGGTATAATAAAGTCAAGATCGGTCTCAGAAAGCAGTGGAGATGAATTACCAAGTAGTAGTGGTAGTATGTCGAAAGGGATATTAAAATTGCATCGTACTCATGATTTTTCACGTTCTGTATCTGAATCAAGCGCTGACGAAAATGGTGTAGTTATTTCTTCTGCAGATTTTTCATGCAGTTCAATTCACGACCCACAATCAGAGTCGGAGTGCTGTAGTCTGAAAAAGACAGTACGATTTAACAACGTTGTATCTCGACAATTATTCAGGTAATGTCACATTTTCAGAAAGCTCGCTACAGACGAATAAAGATGGGAATGATAAATAATAAAATATAATTCTGCAGATCTAACTCTAGCATTCTTGGTCAACGAAAGAAGAATCAACGTAAGTTGCGAAACAAGAAACGCGCCCATGAGCGCAAATTAAGCGAAAGCGAAAATTCTGAAACAGAAGAACGCGATAAGTATAAGATTACACCAAAAGCGACATCAGAAACAGAAATTTCTGAAAATGTGAAATCCATTCTTAGTCGTGAAAAACAGTCGGGTAAACAAAAATCTGCTTATATTAAAATTAAAAAATTAAAAAAGTCTAAAAAACTACTTTCGGGAAAACGTAAAAGTAGCATCGAAGAGGAAAGCACAGAAGATACGAACGAAATAGCAATTAAAAATTTAGATCAAGCTGAATTTAAAAATGATTTAATATTTGATCTAGATATATAAATCATACATAAGCTCATTGAGATAAAGAAAAAAACAGATTCGACAAGGTGGTAACATATGTATGATAAATTTCCGGTGTTACATGAATGATAGAAATATGTTGTTCGTAATATTATAACGATTGCAATAGAAATCGTTCGTCACTAAATGTTTTTTAAAAATGTTTTTCAAAAATCCACATTAAATGTGATAAAATTTTTTAATATATTCTAAATCTAAAGTAATATAATATAAAAATATTGATTGCGTATAAAAAGTATACGGAAACATCTCTTATAATGTAGACTTTAGAGTCTAATATCGATATTTAAACGCGATAATATTTGGGGTTGAAAAGATTTTTTTTTTATGATTATATTTTGTTATGATATCTTATATTTTTCATTTTATGTTTCGCTTACTAAAGAATAAGCATTTGTTTTATAAATTATCTTCTATATAAGATATTTAAAGAATTTCTCTGTTATTATTTATCGCTAATATATTTCTTACGCACTTAATTTAAAAATTATACTTTATAAAAAGAAATGTGTTTTAGAAGAGAATCTCTAAAAAGATATAAATATGAATTTTTTATCTATGTTTTGTTATTAAATTATATAATGCAATTGCTATTTATATTTCGGTAGAAAGAAAATTTAATATATACACGTTTTTAAAATATTTCTATTCGATTAATCAATGAATTTTTACGTCTCAAGCATCCTTGAGATGATTTAATTCAACCGAACTATTTTTACTGATAGTTATATTATATAATATTTTTAAAACTAAAAAAAAATCGTACCGGTGAAATTGTAAACAAAGGAGCGCAAAACCAAAAGTCGCATTATGTAGTATGAAATTTTTAAATTACCAATCCTTATTATAGCAGATTTATATGCCAATATCATATATTTTATACACGTTAGAAAAAAAATGAAATTAATTAGGATAATTAGTCCTAATACTTCGATCACATATCTGTAGCTATGTTACACATTAAAATCACGAAAAAGCTGCTTGCAAAATGAGCGAAGCAGGATAATATGCAGTTATTTACTATCATTTTCGTTGCTTATGCAACTGGCACACATAAAAATATTAAAATACATCCTATAGTATTTAACCGACTATTCCTGTATTAATATTGTTTAGTTATAGAAAAAGACAGTAAAAAAATTAAAAAAAAAACAAAATACTTAAAAATGATTTAATTTTGTTTCCTTTATTATATTTATTGAGACATAATTAATTTCAAAGCAAAGTTATACCAAAAATGCTTTTATTTTTCTTATATCAATTTTTGGGTGGTTTTATCATTCGACTTGTAGGTGGTGGAATCTTATCGAAGCCAGCATTGTCAAAGACTGGTAGTAAATCTCTAACTTTTTGACCAGGATAGATTGATGCAAGTTCATTCCATCTAAAATAAATAGATACTTAGGAAATATTAAGCACTATATCATTGCACGTATACATATATAGCTTGCAAACCTATTGCTTTTATATTTGACAAGCGATTGTGATGAAGTAAGTGGCGTGTCGGTAGGAAAATAAGTTGCTCCATAAAAATCTAAGCCTTGACTAAGCAATACAGTAGTTTCTTCCAAACTAGCAAGAGTAACTCTTATAACAGGTGGTCCAGTGTATATTGTTGCTGGTTCATTTAAAGTTTGTGCTTCATTTTTTAATCTATCATTGATAGCTTTTACTAAAATCATCATACATAAAAATAATAAAAAATTATAAAATTAAAAAATTGTTTAGATAATAAAATAATAAAATTATCTTTCCTATGAACGATAAAGAAGATTCCTTTTTTAACTTACAAACAGTTCCAGTGGCAAGAGGAACTCTTGTTACTTCTACTATGGAACGGTATTTAAATAAAGCATGTCTGATATCATCTTCTGGTAATTCTTCGGGTACATCTAATACGTACACGGTAAACGTCTTCGCTGGTCTACATGGTATAGCAATCTATATAGTCGAAAATATTATTTATTTTAATAATAATCTTATATACTATATAATTTTCTACAAGTTTTACCTTCTTGTAAAAACGTGCGCCAGTTACTTTGTGAAAACCTTTCTTATACACTGCGTTATAATCGTCAATGTTGCTAAATTTAAAAAGTATTCCAGTAGCTGTTTTTGTTAAAGAAAATGCTCCACTGAAACGTTTTATAGTATAAAAGATTTGAATGAATCGTTGAAGTAGTCTCATACGTTTCTTTTGATTTTAAATATGGCGCCATTGAAAAACCAGCGGAAACGAGTATCATTTGTTTTAAAAAAACGCGCGAAATAAACGCGTCAGTGATTTAACGTGTTAATGGATTTGATTTAAAGAAACAAAACATCTTATATATAGACATATTTTTAAAGAAATATTTGTATTCTTACCGAAAGTTCATTTTTTCACAAATAGACGCCGCCTTTTCTATATTGAAGTCGTGGCTAGGTGTTAAAAGGAATGCACCCTTGGTGATGAAATCATTGTCGCTTATTTCCGAATCGGTTTCGCGAGTTTGCCAATCGTCGGAAATATGCCGAGCCTCTTGATTAAGTCTAAGAAGAGAACTGCTTTTGGACGTTGACATGTCTCTTTTGTAAGTACTACTACGGCTCGCTTACTTTTGCAACATCTTTTATAGTCAAGATCATAGTACATGGGTTTGCCTAGTCCAGGTCTTTAAAATGATCGAACGTCGTAATACGTTACGCGAGATCGCCTTCTTGACTGAAACACAATCGAGCAGAAAAATCATGCTAGTACGTATGTACGGTATAATACTCATCGCTTCTTTATATTTCCTTATACAGGGTGAAAAATTAACTTTTGTTCTTGTCTCAATATTATTTTTTCTCACAAATATTATCGAATTCATTTTCTTTCCTATCAAATCCGTACTGTTTATTTCAAATACAATACTCGTACAGAATATATCGTAAATATTCGTTTGTTATTTTGTAATATATTAATAATGAAAAAAACTTTTCCTTTATGAATTTCTTAGAACTCGCGCCATTTAAAACTACGATGATAATTGAGCAGGTTTCAAAGTACTACATGGGTAAGAAAATTACCTTGCTTATCTTAATTATTTATTGTTGATAATACATAGATTTTATTTTACAAATTATTTACAATAACGTTTAAAATAAGATATTTCCAATGATAACAAATTTTTGATCTACCCTATATATATACATTGACACAAATTTACTGTTCGCCTTTGTTTCTTACGATCTACTCGAAGAGACGGATTAAATAGGGCTTGCCTCGTAAGTTTATCGTGGGCGTTGTCATCTATTGTTATTACTATGTGCATATTCGATCAGTAGTGTGTAAATCATTATAAAATGTGTGTATGTATATACGTATACTACATTATTACAGAATAATTGCTTATTATCTGTTAAACTTCCGTTCTCTCTTTCATGTTTGAAAAAGATCACGTGATAAACTGAAGTTACTCATATATTTCAAAAGATAGTACTTGTTATAATAATTTAATTATAATCTTGTACAAATACGTAACAACTTTGTATTATTTATTATCAAATTTTCATAAAATATCTAAAATATTTATCATTAATCTAATATCAATACTAGATCTATCATTTAGGATTTGTTTTTAGTGTGACTTTTGTGATTTTCTGTTCTTCGCGGGGTTTTATTTATTGCATTTTATGTGCTTCTTTTTACACTCATTTTTACAATATTTTATTGTTACTTTATCCCGTAAAAAAGAAAGTATGCTAAGTTTGTTATTATAGTACTATGTAAGTAGTGACAAAATAAAGATAAAAGTGAGGTTATCAAGCTTATAACTTCATAAATAACTTTACCGATTGTTGGTTATGTTTGTTTTGATCATAATTATAACAATAAATTTTTAAAATCTTCTTTTTATTATGTAAATTTTATTCTTTTGACTTATTCACTTATTTTGTATAATTATACAAAAATGATCTAACTGTTTTTACATAACTTTAGTTTATTTATTACTGTTTCATTACTTAAAGAACAAACTTAAGTACTTTTAAATATTCCTGTATATATATGATTACATTGTTCTTAAGTATTTGATTTATTTAGATTCAAAATATAGATATTATGTTTGCGGTTAAACAAAATCTCAAGACAACGCTCTTACATGGACCAGCAGAATTAAGCAAGACATTCTTATACGAGGTATATAGATCATATTATATGATGTTTACGAATAAAGAATATATAATTTGATATATAGATAAAGATACATTATTCAACAATTTATATTTTAAATAAATTACATGTTTCGGTGTAAGTGGAGATATTTTTCATTGAATACATTTTTCCTATTGGAAAGAAATTTTATTAAGTAGCATAGTTAAATTATATCATTTAACAGGCAGCTATTTATTGGGCAGAAGAAGGTTGTCGTGTTTTCTTTATCACACCGATACCTTTACAACAGATTCCTTCGGCTTGTCATGAAAGTAATCCTTCTACGTACTACACTTATAAATTGATTACATTTTTGTAAGTTTTATTTTTTATTTCAAATAAAGCGCATAACATTTTTTTTTTAAGTAACAATGTATATAAGCGAACAATATATGAAAATAAAATTTTACATACAAATTGTTAACTCTTTTAAAAAATAAAAAAATAAAAAAACATGTATGTATATTATTTGAAATTACTAGAATTAATTATATAAAAATAATAAATTTGTAGGTATCTATCGGATTACAAATCTTTGGCAACACAATTAGCAGAATTGCACACGTTTGTTTCATTACCTACAATACTTTTGTTAGACGACATAGATCATTATATTAACGATGACGCAACAAAGAAAGAAGACGCTTGTGAAGTGAAAACAAAGATGCGTATAGCCAGAGCATTCAGCGTCATCTTCGATGCGATAAATTCGTGTTCACGAATTTCTAATACCATTGTAAGCCATTCTATTAACTCGTGTATAACAATAACACGCAGTACTACTAGTTTATTTATTTTCTTAGGTACACGCTTGCGTGTGGTCTTCGTCGATTTTAAAAAAAACCAATTTGGATACTACGATATATTTTCGTAACATCTGGAACGTATCGGAAGACGAAGAGAAAAAAATAATTTCTTTAAAAAAGATTGATCGTGAAATGCATTTACCCAAAGGCTATCCATTTTTCGAATATCACAAATTTCAAGATGGAACACGAATTTTAAAAAATATTTATCGTGAATTTTTTCATTGATCGATTGTAAGTTTATTTTTTTTTATAAATGTAGATATCATATATTTTTATCTAACTATTTTTTCTAATAAATAAACAAAATACATACATACATTTTATACACTTAATATATATTTAATATATTATTAGGGTGCTGCACGATTTGGTTTGGATGATTCGAATCCATTGTTAGGCTCGTGCGTTTGCACATTTCGAACAAGAAAAAAAGAAAAAAAGAAAAGATGACTCTAGTGGATGAAACGTCTATAGAAATCTTTTCTAAATCCCTATTTAAAAAAATCTTTGAAAGAGCATTAAAAGATATGAATATATATATTATAAATTTTTAATATTCATTATTAAATTAATTAAATATATGTAAAAATTCACACAATATATTATTTCTTTAAAAAAATAAAATATTCTCAAACGAAAAGACATAGGATGTAAAAGAGACAAAACACATGTTGGAAGGTCAAATTCAGTGGAAAAAGCATTCGTCACTCTTTTCAAATCGGCAAGTAGAATTGGTAGCTTGTAAAAGAGAGGTAATTGGATCGCTTTATTGAATGGTAGGAAGAACGGGCTTAGAGGCATGCAGGCATGCATGCAGGAAAGCAGACTGGCAGGCAGACAGGACAGGAGAGGCCAGGGTAAGCTGGACCATGCAGGCAAACAGGCAAGCACAGGAAAAGAACCGTCGCTGTTGAAAGCCGGGACAGGTTACTCCGGCAGTAAGCAAGTGGCAAGTGTTAGTCGTCCGACAGCACTTGCCACGAATAGGCATGCGATGGTCCCGTTAAGTACCGATCTTACGTTTACTTGTCGTCACATCCAGTCAAATCTTGAGCAGTGAATCATTTACGACATTTTGCAAAAGTGACAACGTTCAAATATATCAATAAAAAGAAATATTTCTTTATGAAAACTTGTTAAAATTTATTTTCATATAACATAGGGAAAAAGGAAATAAGAAGAGAGAGAGAGAGAAAGAAGATAGACATAGAATAGAAGAGTATCTGTCTGTTAGCTATTCGAGTGTCCAGTAATAGACAAAATAATGAGTAAGAGGATAGCATATGTCTGCAGGAGTACAGGAACGAGTGAATGCATTTGAGCGTGTGCGTGCACGTGCGTGTTTCTGATCCTGATCGACCTCGAAGACGCGCGATCATCTGCCTTCGAGGACACGATGCTGATGCTGATAATTCGTCTCGTTTTACTTTCGATCTTCTTTCAACATTTTGTTGCCGCTAACCCTGTCATTTCCGCTAAGGTATTCCGAATATTTTTTATAATATTTTATTGCAACTTATTTTGTCGCGAAATTAAACGACAATATTATTTTTGGAACAATTTTCACGAGGCGATGCAGACGCGCGTCATATCGAACGTTTAGATCGTTTATAATGTTTCAATTAAATAGTTTAAAAAGAAAAGCATTTGCCGACTATTCGCCTCAGATAATTGAAGCCATTATTCTATGCAATGCACACATAACTTGTACACTTATCGTGCTCTCAAGCGGTGATATCTGTTGTGCTAAATGTGCGCAGCTTATAAACGTCTTACAGTCATTTCGAATGACTATTATTGAATCGATTTAATAGTTTTTTAAAGTTCAATGTTTAAAAAATCATTTGTATCAGTTGATAATAGTGATATCTACGAAAATACAAGATTATGATAAATAACTAATTACGATTTCTGTCCTATGAAATACGTGTCTGTGTGTAAAAAGCAAACAAAATTTTATTTAAGAGAAAGAGAGAAAGAGAGAAAGATGAGAGGCGCCACACGATATATGAAAATTATTATAGGATTACAACATTCTCTCTTTGAACGTTCTAACTTACGACGCGTAAGTACGCGTTTTATTTACACTGATTGCGAGCAGAAAAGTAAGGCAAATATCTGCGGCCAGATTAAAGCTCAAAGTATATTTTCTTTTTCTTTTTTTTTTTTCTTCTTTCGTCCTCCTGTTTAAATGATATATACTTTGTACATGTTCAGAAAGATAGGTCTAAACTCAATATGTTTTAGATGAGTAAAAAGATACGCTTAGTTACACCAAACTAAGGTAAATATATCTCTCGCTTTATCTATTTTTTATTTATCTTTTTCTACATCTAATTAAAAATTCATTATGTGTAAATGTTAAATAAAGTATTATAGACTATCGTAAGTGTCATCATCATCATCATCATCATCATCATCATCATCATCATCATCATCATCATCATCATCATCATCATCATCATCATCATCATCAAGCGATATAATATAGTTAAGAGGAACATTTGAAATGGAAGGAAAAAAAATAATATTTCATCTTATCGCACGAAACAAGAAATCCTTTGTTTGCCAATGATCTTGTTAAGTTAAAAGAAAGGTGAAAGGCGGTACCTCTAACTAATGATTGAACATTTAAAGAGCGTGTTTTACATTTAATAATAGGCGCCTTGTACGTCTCTCTGGTAGTGATTAAGCGCGAGACTTATGTAGTATATATCTATGTATATATGTACTTACGTACTTACTTACGTTCGTTTGTACCGAAGACCGAACGATAACTGAATTACATAAAACCTCGTTGGTAGTCATTATCTTTTTGACGAATAAATTTATATTTACGTTAGAGAAATAAATGTGCGAGAATAAAATCAGCTTGAAATATAATCGAACTATAAGATATTGTATATAAGAAGCTTATTGCCGTTTAGAAACACGTTCTCTACCATCATCATCATCATCATCATCATCATCATCGTCGTCGTCTTCGTCGTCGTCGTCGTCGTACGCGTCAAGTAAATTATGAGTTCAATCAATTTCCGTATTGATATCTTAATCTTCGACTTCGCGATCCTTCTTCTTCTTCTCTTCTTCTCATCTCGTTAAGAGAACCTCGTCGTTATTTATAACACTGCTCTACGTTCTCCCGATATACCTAATTAATTATGATAAAAACATGAAAGCTAGTCGTTCCACTTCGATCGATTGTTTATAAATTGTTGCATACGTTTTACAATGAAATCAGAGGGGGAGAAAGAGAGAGAGAGAGAGAGAGAGAGAAAGAGAGAAATCAATACTTATTTTTTAATATATTCTATTTTGATTGCTTTTACTCTCTCGTTCGTTGCTAAGACTCGGTAACGAAAACACGTTCGTACAGTTATGTCCCCGAACTATATATAATCGATACTTACTTTCTCTGATTATTCTCTTTTTTATGAAATTTGTATCTAGTCAAACACCTATCAATTTCGAACGTGTGTCTTTTCTCTTTCGAATCTAAAATTCTCTAATTTCAAAGAATCTTGTTTTCTATGAAATAAACCTAAACATATCTTTGAACATTCGTACTATTCTCAAAAAAAAACTCGAAGATAGACGAGACGAATTTCTGCTTGACATGATAATCTTTCGAAAAAATTTGTTTAAGATCGACACGATGAAAATTTGGATATTCTACTATCGCTTCGTGGGATTATTTTATTCAATTAATATTAGGTAAAGAAAAATAACGATGATGAGACAGAAATAATAATTGATACGAGACCGTGAACCCCATAGCGATACGGTACGGTATAGTCCAGTGCGGTGTAGTGCGGTGCGGGACGAAGAGCATCAGGTACAGAAAGCGTCTAAGAAACCTGTTTGGAGACAGCCAATATCTTACGAGGCCTTTTCTCTTTCTTGTTGTTTTTCACGACACACACGCACGTTGATGCATTCCTGCGTACGTACAAACAGTTCCTTCCGAATACTTACTGCCAGCTACTCTCTGTCAGAGTATTTATCCTTTTCTTCTTCTTCTTCTGCTTCTTCTGTTCCTCGTTTTACGTACGCAATGGTATGCGAGACCCTTCGGTTACATATGAGATAGCTTACGACTTTTCTTTTCTTTTTATTCCTTTTGTTAAACACCAATTAATGAATTACATTAACTAATCTTACGAATAAAGATTTAATTCGAGAATAATACGTTCGATTCTAAAATTGTTCAATTAATCATTGACGTGCGTATATTCACGTCCATTCATGTATTCAACTAATACAAATATTTAAAAGATGTAATGTCACAAAATATTGAAATTAAAGTGTTAATAAATGGTGAGTTTTAAATTATATAATTTCTAGTTTTGAACCTGTACGAAAAATATCAGGACCGTATTATGAAATGTTAGAAAACTAAAAATTAAAATCAAATTTGGGAGTACGTTTTCGTTTATAATTCTATTATCCTAGGAACAATGCCGGAAGAAAATAGCCGAATGTACGATGGAAAACGATAAAAGTGCACCGGTATGTGGAAGCGACGGTGTCACGTATCCTAGTCAGTGTCAGGTCATTTCGAAGCAGTGCCAGGGTGAATCTATCCTAATTAAACACCCCGGACCCTGTCCAGGTTCGTATGATAATTGCAAATGTAAATTAATTACACTATGAACTAATAAAGAATACTACGAAGGATTGTGAGAAGTGGTCAGAAGACCGTAGATCAGATAACATACTTAAATAAATATATGTCTCTAAAAGAAAGAGAAAAAGAAACAAATAGAAAAAAAAAGGTTAACGAAATTTGTTTAGAAATGCCACCATGCTTTTCGGCGAGATTGTCGTCACGACCGGGATCACAACCGGTTTGCCGGCCAGATGGTACATATGCACCGGTGCAATGCCACATGGAGACCGGGTTTTGCTGGTGCGTAACATTGCAAGGACGTCCACTGCCGGATACCTCGGTAAGGCACCAAAGACCGAGATGCGAGAAACCCGCTCCCAGATCTGCCGTTGCTACTAAGAGTGGACAGAAAAGACGTTCCTCTAATTGGAAGGAACATGGGCAGTATGGCAATAAAAAAGGAAATACATGTGATCGTCTTGAAAAAACTAAGTTTAATAATAATCTCATAGAAAATTTTAGGATTGAATATAAACGAACTAATATATCAGCGAATGGTGAGTTCATAATTTTCTTCAATTTATTCATTATTGAGTATAGTTGCTCGCACGGAAATGTTTTATCGATTATTTTTAATCAAAATTAAACAGACAACGCACCGTTATATTTTGATACTTTCATTACTATTCCTAATAAAAATAATAAAATCCATAAATTCGTTTTGCTCGGTTCGTTCATTTATAGGTGACAAAAATGTGGAACGCGTATTGTCTTGGAAATTCGCTACTCTAGACAAAGATGGGGATGGTTATTTGAATCGAGCGGAGTACAAGGAACTTCGTAAACTTGCTAAAAAAGCAGTTAAACCTAAAAGATGTGCTCGTACCTTTGCCCGAGCCTGCGATATCGATCAAGATCTCAAACTTTCTAGGCAAGAATGGGGTACTTGCTTATCCAACGATTTCACTCGTAAGTCCTTTACACGTGCCACATTTTACCTAATTTTTCTTCTTCTTCTTCTTTCTTCTTCTTTCTTCTTTTATCATTTTGTCGATATATATTTTTGTCCTGAGAATGCGGACTGATTAAAGCGCATTAAATGCGTGGGATACCTTTTGCACGATTAGTATCATTTTTCCAACCTGTCATCATTGATAGATAGTGTAAAAATTAATTATCGTTCTTATTTCGATGCTTGCAAGCCGAATAATTATTTTCTTCTTTTCTTTTTTTTCCTTATTCTCTCTCTCTCTCTCTTTCTCTCTCTCTCTCTCTCTCTCTCTCTCTCTTTTAAATGATGGTCGAAATCTCCCTCGCATTAGTCACGCACGCATGATGAATCATTCTATTGGAATATAATTACGTTACTATTCGAAATATGAAACCGCAAGAGAGCAAAGTTTGATCTTTCTTTAGACATTTATCCTTTGCTATATCAGGAAGTACATTACTAAATGGGGTTCCCATTCCTTCTCCTTCTCCTCCTCCTCCTATTCTGCACAAATGATTATAGATTCTTTTAAGGTTTCTTGATAAAGGAAATACAATTATGTCCAGCATATCTATAATGTACATTGATACTTAAATATTTAGTATATCTAGTACTTTATCAATGTTTCAAAAATCATTCGTTTTTTAGATTACATTGTTCTTTAGATAAAGAAAATAATTGGAAATAAGATGATCTCGTTACCATTGTATATGACATTTATTTCTCGTAGTAAAAAATAATTAGGTATAGAATAATAGTATTACTATCATTGTTAAAATCATCTTTGTCTTCGGAAGAATGATACGCGGTTGAAATGACTGCTAATTAAATGACAGGAATATTGGAACATAATGCGAAGATGATGAAGAAACGAAAGAGGAAACGCGTCGAAACGAGAGGTAAGTTTTTTCTTGTATTTTTTTTTTATAATACTAATCCTAAACTATATAAATGAAAAAATTCTTCTCTATCTCTATTTGAATCTTACGTTTAGAGTTGTATGCTTTATTATCATTATGATTTCAGTAGGAACTCTGCGTCAGCGTTATCGTATTTATTTGACCGAAGATCCAACTTCAAATACTACTTCTAGTAAAACTTGTCATCGACTAAGTGTTCTTCGAAAAATGAAGAAGTTAGTAACTCGTATAAAATTGCTATAAAAAAAAAATTTCTTGCTAATGCAAATATACGTATACAGGATGTTTCCTTTATCTCATAATGTTGGAATATCTCGCGAGAGACTGAAATTATCGGACAACGCGCGTATCAAAAGAAAATCCTTAAAAGAACATTCTTTTTTTTCTTAAGAAAATTTTTTTGTCACTCAAGATCACATTACAATATTATTAAAGAAAGAAAAGTGGGTGTATATATGGTTCTATTTAACTCTCTAATCAGAAAAAAATTGCATACATTAGAAGATATTCCAACATTACAAGTTAAGGGAAATACCATATATATTCTGCTATTTGTTGACAAAAACCTAATAATATGTTTTCAAATTATGATTAACGTGCACCTCTACGAAGAAGGTGATGGGGGTAAAAGAAGATCAGGAGAAGGAGGAATACGACGACGATTGGCCAGTGTTGGGTGAAATATCGTCATCGTCGGGAAAAACCGGGCGATTATATTGCTGCGTTTTGGACCGATCGTGGTAGAAAAAGAAAAAAAAAGAAAAAAAAAACAAATGGAAGATAAACAAACTACGATCATTCTCCATATACACGATAACGAGATCCTTAAGTGCAGTAGGATAATTAATCATTAAGCAAGAACATAAACTTGCGTTTTATCGACAACATACTATCGTTCTCGTACTTGTCTTTGAACGATACAAAGATTCATTCCTTGATATGCTGGACATAGAAAAGAAAGATCTTTTCATTGATAAAATGTTTGAAATCCTTTCCTCTTCGACATTTTTCTCTTCCTATCATAATCTATCATACCAAAAATAAAGATATGCATGTATACATATACATACATACATATACATAAAATACGTATTTTCTTCGTCTCGCATGTTTATATGAAAATATTCGAAAAAAGAACAAGAAAAGTACGACGCGACAGAAAAGAAAAATTGTTTTAATACAGTTTTGTGCGTTGTCGAGATAATCCTCCTTCTCCTTTTAGCTTCGTAAAAATTTCGCAAAAGTTTCTTTTGTTATCTAAGTGCAACAATATTTCCCACCGGATATAGGATAGGTAGGCTCGCTAGAAATGCACATGCATGTCTTTTGTTGTTGTTTTTATTGTTGTTTAATAATATGTAACATGCTTCGCGTCAAATCCTAATACTAATCCGCTTGAAAGCTTCTATCGATATACCAGCATGATGTAAAATAAATATATACTATGATTTCGTTTACTTGGCGGTTCATTGATCTTGGTAATGTATATTATTAAGATGCAAGAACCTACGTTGATACGCGTATCGACTATCAACGAGGGATAAAACTAAAGTTGCGTTAATATTAAGTCGCGACGATAAATTAGACATAAAGATAAAGAGACAGGATATATCGTAAACGCGAGACCCGTTGGATAGTTCGTCGCGCTGAGCTATAATATTCGCAAATTCTGCAGGAAGTTTGCCCACACGTAGCTTTTCTCTCTCTCGTTTAGGAAGGAATTGAAGGCAATTGGCTTCGCGTAACACGCGCCCATTTAAAACTATCCTCCTTATTCTTTCCTTCTCTTCCCTTCTCTTCTCATCTCGTTGTCGTCTCAAGTTTTTTACACCCACGCGGGATCTTTCGTCAATAAATACCTTATTTTCAGGTCGAGACAAAATTGAGAAAGGAGATTGAAGTATTTAGAACGATAAGACTTTAGCATAAAGGAAATTTACTATAATTATTTTTAAAAATGTAATTTGTCATTCAATTTCTAAATTAAAAGAGTATTAGTAAATCGTATATGTATATAGTGTGTTTTGTTGAAAAGTATAGGTTTGCACGATTTAAACGTGAACAAAATGGAGTAAAAATATGCGTATAGCATGATCCGTGCGTGCATGAGATTTTACTGTATCTCTTTTTCTTTTGTCATTCACAACCACCCTAGCCCCATCCTAGCCCCTTATAAATTACGAATTGCTGCTATGCTTTTGAGCAATGGTGCGCGAATGACGCAAAGCAAACTGTACATATATAGGTAAAGCCGGTCGGCTGAGTGACATCATTGTTATCATTTAGTACGTTTGTTCTTGTCGCTGAACTCCGCAGCAGATCCTCACGAGGTCCCCAAGGACCAGAGGACACAGGCCACTGATAAAGGTGAGTTTCAGTCCTGTAATGTCCTTTGGGGTAATTATATTATCCGATTTCTTTTTTTTTTTTTCCTCTCTTCTGGAGTATCGATAATTAAGATAATTTATAATCTTCAAATATTTTATGTAAATATGTAAATATGTAATTTATTAAAAATAACAAATTATACTAACAAAAAGTATTGACATACTAATATACTACATAGCAATTTCTATAACTTCATTCACATTGTTTCAGTACTCAAAGGTAATTCCTCGCCTATACATTCAAGGCCTACATTTATTGATAATCCAGCCGATACCAAAGAAGAAACCGATGGTATGTTTCTTCTAGAACACGCATTTATTTTATTTTCTTTATTTTTTGTATTCTCTCTAAGTAAATAACACATAAAAGAATATTTTTTAATGCATCAGCGACTGACTGTTTATCGGATAGGCGATCGGTATTGGAAGATCAAAAACAAAATTCACAAGAAAAATTTTATATACCGCAATGCACACCCGATGGTAGATACCATCAAGTCCAATGTTATTCCGGTTATTGTTGGTGTGTTTATCAAGACACGGGTAAACCTATACCTGGAACATCTTCGAAAGACACTAAACCAAATTGTGATCCAGCACCTACACCTAGCAGACCGATAAGGGGTATGCATTATTTAATATTTACTTTTCTTTTTTAAAAATGCAAACTTTACTTTGTTTTAAATTGCTTTTGTCGGTTTTGTCCAGGATGTCCCGAATTGAGAAAACAAATTTTCTTACGAGACTTGATGGATGTAATGCAAAAGAAAATGAAAGCTTCTAATACGGATTCGAGTGATATAACAGCCAACTGGCAGGCTTCTAAAGAAGAACAAATAGCCACGTGGCACTTTGTAATACTCGATAAAAACAAAAATAAGGTGTGTAATCACTTTATATCGTCGATGTAACACACGTCTAACTTGATGAAATTTTATCAATAGATACTGGAAAGAAAAGAATGGAAGAGTTTTCGCAACATGGTCGCTAACAATAAGTTGCTTCGCAAATGTGGCAAAAAATTTCTTAGGTATTGTGATATCAATAATGACAGAAAAATCAGCATGACGGAATGGTTGAGCTGCCTAAATGCTCAACATGTAGTAACAGGTAAATTTTTGAAGTCAAAAATTGTCTTTATTTATTAAATGATTATTTTTGTATCGTCTTAATAATATATTATTTATTAGCTGAAAGTCCTGAAAATTCATCTACGGACAAGCCAAAGAGGACGGGTCCTAATCCATTGCATCAACTTCTCAATGACGACGATTAATATAAATTTTGTGTGATATGCATTATCATTTAATCTATGCAATGTTAAAAGCATTGCGATAATTTAGTATTATTCAATCATGGAATTTATATTTGAAAATTAGATTGACAAATTGGAAAAATCATTTATTCATTTTACGTTTTGCTTTTCTTTTCTTATCCATTTTCTTTATAATATTACCAATTATTGGTAATCTATTAATAAACAAAAAATTACTATTCATTTTTCAATTTTATTACTTTATCCGACATATTTATTTTAATTATGTTTAAGGGATAATTGAATATAAATCAAAATAAAAAGTATTGTATATAAAAATCAATCAATCTCAAGTAATTTCAAAAGCTAAAACAATAATAATAAATCTGTGAATATATTTTTGTATACTTGCTTAGAAATATAGATACCATTCGTAATACTATTTTAAGCCTTTACACTCGAGAGGTTACTCTCGATCACTACTCGGTTTAACAAGATAATTCGAGCGATAACGATGTTTATTTAGGTTTTATTTGGGCAATACCACTTCATAAATGCCTTCAACAATATATGCGTGCATAACAACTGCCAATCTTTAATCTTAAATACGTCATTTACATGCATTGTTATATATGCGTCTTCGACGATAGTTTAAATTCAAGATTGCGTCAAGATTTTTTTCATACACGGAATAAATGAAGCCCAGCATGAAAGAATAATGAATTTATCATAAGAATTATATAAATTATAATTTATTTATTTAAGTATATAAACAGTTTTATAAATTTATTTTGTACTATCAATGAGAGAGAGAGAGAGAGGGAGACAATACATAGTAGTTACTGTGATATAAAAAGGATTGTTGCATAAGTTATAATGCACATTTTTATAAAAAATAATACAAAATAGAAATACCATACGACATATTGTTAAACATTTACACAATAATTCTATTGATTTATTTAAAAAATTCTATCTTGAAATTTACTATCTATTGTAATTGAACTAGATCTTGATGTACCGCCTGGTACTCGAGTAGGAGGAATATTACCAGATCGCCTTGGTATAAGAAATTCAAACATGCTCTGTGAATGTTTGGCTAACATTTCATTTAATTCACAAGGCATTGGATCTGTCCAAAAGAAGTCATGATCTAATGCATTATTTGTATCAATCCTCTTATCAGGATCAAGAAGAAGAAGGTTATCCAACAAATCAAGAGCGTTAGAATCTTTTATAAATTTCCCCAGTCTTTCTTTAACCTAAGAATAAATACAAATATTAATGCAATATAATATTTAATTGCACAAATTTAATTATTTCTTTAATTAATTCACAGACCTTTCTTGTTTGATCTTCGGGCAGATTCATTTTATTGTACAATGGGCATTCCGTCACCTTTGGCCAAACTTTTTTCGTTATAGAGCCACACAGTTGTGAAATACATAATAATTGCTTTTGCTCAGTATCTCCTCGCATCAAAGGCATTCTAAAAAGTAGTTTAGTTAAAATCCTTTAGAAGATTGAATTTATTATATAATGAAAAAAACAAGCGAGCAAATGTAAGAAAGTAAATAAATGAAAGAAAAAGCAGTAACGAAATATCACAATAACATTAAGAGTAAGATAACAATTTAGTAAGAATAAGTGTATGATAAGTATAAATTAGAAAGCAATTATAAGAAGTAAAAAATTAACACATTACTTACTGACAACTGATTAATAGTGCTATCATGTATTAATCGGTAGCCTAAAAATATATCGTCAGTTTTAATTCTATTTCTCCGTAAAAAACTATCGGTATAACTAAAGAATTCGAGTTTCAATTGATTTTTATTGTGTATGTGTCCACTTAATCTAGTGTCGGTAAATAATGTGTTAAATAAGAGGGTATACTTGAATGTGTAAGTGTAATTAAATTTGGTCTGTAGATTCTTAGTCTGTAATAATTATTACTATTGTTTTTGTTACAAAAAAGTGTAAAAATTTATCATCCACAATCTTTATTACTAACCATCTTTAAAACGTCTACTTTTAATATATACTAAGTCAGGATTTTTTTCATATTTCATTAATTAAAATACATACCTTATCCACATTTCAGCCATTATACATCCAACACCCCAGATATCTATTGGTGGACCATACATCTTGCTTCCCAACAGTAATTCTGGGGGCCTATACCAAAGAGTAACGACCTTATTTGTATAACCCTTTGTTTGTTTAGCCATTACTTCACTAAACCATCTTGCTAAACCAAAATCAGCTATCTTCAATATACCATTTTTTGTAATTAAAATATTTGCAGACTTGATATCTCTATGTATAACCTGGGAAGAAATGATGAATAACAAATTTTGTATTATTCTATATATCCGCATTCCATTATTTGCATGTGAACTTACTTGTCGTTTATGAATATAAAAAAGACCGTTTAAAATTTGTTGAAGCACCTTCTTAATTTCTCCTAAAGTGAACTTAACATTTGGATTGGATAATAAACCAGCTAGATCATGCTCACAGAATTCTAATACAATGTAAAATGAGGTTTCATATTGATTTTCCAATGTTCCTATAAAAAAAATATATTGTTTCGATAACAAAATGTTTCTACCACAAGTTAGAATTATAAGTTGTAATATTACAGGGAAACAGAAAATATCGTCATTGAATTCTTTCTTAAGTGCAAACATTAAATTGATTCAAAGATTAACTCTGATTTTTTAAAATGAAAACATGATATTTCCTATTTCTCTTGGAATCTCCCAACTTCTATCTGACAATGAAACATTTATTTATATCTCGTTTTGTTTTCAAAAATAATTAACTTGGTCACTATAAACATCTCTCCCTATACATCAATTTTATTTTAATTATTATACAAAAAATGGAAGAAAAGTTACAGGAAAAATTTCTTACCTTTCGTTCTACAAACTTCTATAAGTTTTATTACATTTTCATGGTTTAATGCTTTTAATAAAGTTATTTCTCTTAATGCAGTTCTAGGAAACTGGAAAAAAATATAAACCTCGTATATTAATACGTTACTTCTAAAACGTCTAGTTATTTTATAAATTAACTGAATTATGCACTTAAACGGTAACATATATATATATACCTCTTGCAATTTGTTTTCTGTTAATATCTTCTTCAGTGCTACAAATTTATTAGGATTTGTCGTATCAATTCCTTTGAATACCTCACTGTAATTGGATAAAGAAAGTATAGTTGAATTTCAACTTTAACTACCTAATATTTGAAAATGTTTCCTTATTGAAATGTTCTATTATCCGAAGATAATGAAGACATAGTACATCCATTGTATCAATATGAAATTAAAATCATATCGATTTAAAAGATTTCATTAAATATACATAATATATATAAATTATACACGTAAAATTATATATGAAATATACACACAGTACATATACATATATATAATATACATACAGTATAATATAAAAGTTGAAATAACAAAGTTTAGAAATCTTACCCAAATGTACCTTGACCAATTTTCACGATTTTTTTATATTTTATAACATTTTTGCAGTAAGGAAAATTAAAGTCCTGAATATATTTCTCTTTTTCTTTTCTATTCATGTTGTTTTTATCAAAGATTACTACTCGTAATAAGAAAAATAAAATATAAACTGAAACTACCACGTAAACTTGTACAATGAGAAATCTCGAAGGAAATAAAGTCACACGAATTTAAAAATTTCTAACCTTCCTTACCGCTGTATAGAGTAGTATCATAATAGTTGTATTTAATGCACGAGACACATATCTAGGAACTTTTTTTATGTTGCATTTCTGTTACGTATTTTTATAAACTTCCTGTGAAACACATTTCGCTCTTTTCAACCTATATTTATTTTGTTTAATTCTAGGTTTATTCAAAAATTATATCCTTGTGATCCGATACAGGAAAAACTTTTAAGGTTTAGGATATTTTAAATTGAAAAATAAAATTGTTTCATTTAAAATTTTTATTATCAAGTATAATTAAACATGTTCTATGAGTACTCTGCTTTATAGCATTTTAGTTTTCATTGTAAACTACCCTTAAACCACTGTTGATACGTGCAGAAAAATGGTCGTCCAGGTTAACGATAACATTTTATTATAAGTTATTATTTTCTGAAAATAAATATTTAATAGTAATATTTGTATGTAATATATTTTCCAAAATGGGTCTTCTAGGTAAGAGTTAATATATTCGATGACAATCATTGATGTTTATTTACATTACTGCGCATAAGAACAAATCGGATGATTGAATTGCTTTATCACTAACTTTATTATTTTCCCTAACTTAACCTGATCATTTTCCCTAACTTAATCTGACTAATTTTCCTAACTTAACCCAACCATTTTCCCTAACCTAGAATCTCTAGGGAGCGCTATTTTAGCGCCATAATTTTGGCGGGATGAGTCTTTTACTTGCATTAACGTATCATTTTGAGTATATTAACAATAGAATGTGTAAACGGATCATTTATTTGGAACTATTTAGTGTTTTTTGAAAACGTGCGAAATAATGTAATTTTTATATAAGGCTTTTATATATTGTAGCATTGATTATTTATTAGTTTGTTTTAACTACAATGAATTTGTAATACTGCTATTCTGAAAAATTTTGTTTATTCGAGTATTAAAGCCTACTTAATACGTCAATATGTCATTTTAGAATATCAAATTCTTTTTTTTAATTACATTTCTTCTATAACAAAATATTTCAGCTGTTTATACATTGATATAATTAATATCTCTTTCAGAAATTTAACAAAAAAATTGTGTTGTTTCAGTCAGACAAATTTTTAATATATTAAGAAAAATGCCTAGGTCTCCTAATAAGACTTACAAACGACCATTTACAGTCTGCGTAGAAGGTAATATTGGAAGTGGAAAGACTACTTTTTTAAATCATTTTAAAAATTATGATAATGCTGTGGTCTTACAAGAACCAGTAGAACTATGGCGGGATGTTGCAGGAGTTAATCTATTAGTAAGTGATGTTATTATTATCAATAGAATGTCGAAGATGCCCCATATACACACATATGATATTAATTTAATAATTATATTTTAGGACCTCATGTATAAAGATCCAAAGCGGTACGCTTTTTTATTTCAATCTTATGTACAGTTGACGATGCTTCAGTTACATACCTATAAAACACAATCACCCTACAAAATCATGGAGAGATCAGTTTACAGTGCAAGGTTGTTTATAGAAAATATGAAACGTAGTAAAATGTTACATGATATTGAAGTCATTGTTTTAGAAGATTGGTACAATTGGTGTATTAAAAGTGCTAATATAGAAACAGACATGATAAGTAAGACTGACAAATTTATTTACATATTGAAATAATACTAGGATGCTTTAATTTATTTATTCATTATTAACATTATTTAATTAATACTATTTATCGATTATCTAGTATATTTAAGGACATGTCCAGATATTGTTTACCAAAGAATGCGTATACGAGCTCGTAAAGAGGAAAATGCTGTATCATTAGAATACTTGAAACAAATTCATCAAATACACGACGAATGGCTACTTCACCAAAACTTGTTTTCTTTGCCAGCACCAGTTGTTGTCTTAGATGGAAACAAGAGCATTAAAGAAATGGTAACTGAATTTGAAAAATGCAAAAATACCATTTTTTCTAATCGAAGAGAAAATAAAAAGGAAATAACAACAAATACAACTTTATCTGAACAAATGGAGTGTCAGAAATAAAAGCGCTGGATGTGTAAATAGTTTAAGTATTACATTTTTGCATTTAAAAATTTAAAATAATTAGTGTTCAATTTTGTTTCTCTTATAAAAATGTATTATTACAAGATACAATCTTCATGTATTTATTTTCTTATTATAAAGTTAGTTAATATTCTGAAACTATTAACTGATATTCTTTCCATTGTCTTTTTATTAGACCAATTATAATGTTATATGAAATATTTAAATATTGTAAGTAAAGAAAAAATATATTTGTATCTACATTGTTTAAACTGATTCTTTATTAATAAGACTTATGATAGAACATTATGAAAATAAAATAGTTAGATCACAGATTCGGTAAAACTACAATAACTTACTATTACAGTAAATTATAAGACATAGAGATTTTTTAGTAAAAATATCTCATTCATCTTAGAAACGAAATAGTCAGTAATATGTATTATATGAACATAGATATTACAAATATATCATATATATTTCGACGAAACTTTGTCCATTAGGTCAGACCTCCATTACTGACAAATTGTAAGTTAATATAAAAATATATTATATCAGTAAATTTTATCTTATTCGATTTTGCATTTATATTTATAAATATCACATAACACTTTGTTATTATAATTTTGTACGAGAATTGGCTACTCGTTCTGCACAATCATACTCTTGACAAAACCATAAAACTTCTATTAAATTTCCAATTTGTGCATCTTTTGTGTTAGCCCGTTTCCAATCTAGAAGCAGTTGATACATTATCTGAAACAGATATAAATTGATATTTATTAAAGGAAAGGACTTTGAAAAGTAAAATAAATAAATTGTAAAAAATTAATTGTTCCTCTTAATAATTACCTCGTCTACACCTTTATGTCGATAATTCTCTTCGAACTGTTCGATCTGACCATCTGAATAAGAAAGTCTTCTGGCAACATCTTTCCAACCATGACCAATATGAGTTTTTATTATGAACATATCATCGAAAGTAATTTCATCTTCACACCTAGTTAACGATTCGACGTTTTCCGGCATTAATCTTGATTTAGGTTTTGAACAATTAGTATCCGTCGGGACAGACTTATCTGTTGAAAAATTGTTGATATTACAAATATAACTTGTCCTCGCTCCAATTTTTACTCCATTCGAATTAACGATATTGTAATTGACGACATTCGCGGATTGTGCTGTAAATAAAAAGAAAAATACATAATACATATAATATACATAAGAGGGATCGATTTATTATACCTAATTTCGATCAGCAATAGATTCGATGACGTTTCACATACTAAATATCAATAGTAATACTATCGATTCTTAAAATATATGTATTTCGTTGCTGATGCCACTGTCAGTTTTGTTTGCATGATTAAAGGATTATATTATCAGGATACTCTGCTGGTAGTCTTATCGATAGTCTAAATAAAAGTATGGATACTCGTCCGAGCTTTTATCAAATACATATATCATGACTTGCTGAAACGTTTAACACAACTTGCACATCCATCAATATGTGCTATTTAATTCTTAATGATCGACATATTATCATACTTATCGCATTAATTATTTAGGACGATCCCATCTACTTCTTGCAAAACCTAATTTTTAATCGTTCATTAACATATTCTTAGAAATATGTTATCATTTTAACGAGCCGTAAATATTACTCAAATTTACGTTGTGTTGTATAAATGATTTATCATAAGTAACGTTATCAATGCTAATTTAAATTCCATGAAATTAAACGAAGAGGGGGTAACAAAATTCTAAGAACTAATATTTGCCATCTTTGCCTTACTTTATCTCTTTCTCTCATATATATAACTATACGTATGTAAGTAAACGAAAGAAAACAATTATAAGAAAAACGCGTTGGTGTATATTGTAAAAATATTCCAACATAAAGAGATATTAATTAAAAATTATTTAAAAAAGCAAAAATATAATCTTTTTCGCCATTTCCTTCCTCTTATTTGAATGAGTAATAGTAAGATGGAACAATAAACTTACAAGATTTCGTTGTTCGAGACTTCGTTTTCGTTTTGACGTTTGGTTTTTTATATTCCCTGAAACCATTTGTCGAAGGAAGATCATTGTCGTTGTCGTTATCATCATTATCAAGATTTGTCGGCTTTTTAGGAGGAAAATCGGCAGCAGCAAAAGGTGTAGTAACGCCACTTGGTGCAGACTTTTGTCGTTGCAATGACGTTGCACTATTACTTTGTTCACAATTTTTCTTTGATATTAATTGTCTTAAAGAAAATTTTCTCTTTTTCTCCTCTTCATTATTTGGCTGCAAATTATTCGTATAATCCTGAATCGGGACTCGTGGTGGATCAGGTTTCGCATCGGTCGTCAATAATTGAAATCGTCGAGAGAAATCGGAAAGTATCGGCATTCTCGAGGAAATTTTGGTACCCTGTTGAGATCAACAACTTGTTTACTTTCTTTCTTAAAGAATTATAAGATATTAAAATATTCCATTTGTATATATACATAACACGCGTAATAAATTAAATACTTCTTTGTAAAACTATAAATAGGAATATATATACGTGACATGATATACGTTATCGTTTAAAAATATCTACATAATTAAAACGAGCCAATACGTAAAGTAGAGTACTCATTTTGAATTTTTATCAAATGATAAAATCGATGAGCTGAAGTATTCTCATTCTATCTTTTACACATCCGGCATAAAAAAGGGGAGAGGGGATACGATAAGTTCGGACACGTTAGATGAATTTGAACATAATAAGTACAAATAAATTGAATACAAATGCGATCTATGGATTATGCTGATTCAATGTAATAACAGAGCATAAAGAGAAACGATTCACTGGCAAAGACACATTATCGTATAAATAAGCCATGTATACGATAAACCAAACGACCTCGCGTGATCTGGGTTTTCCAATGGTAAAACCGGTAACCACTAGCAGAAATGCTAATAAAAATAATAAGTATGCTAACAGACGAAACGAAAGACGCGAAGGTTGACTCTTTCAATCTTTCCTTTCCGTTCTTACGATCTCTCATTAACAATGTAATTTGAACCAAAATATTTTTAATTAAAAAAAATAAACTACAATGCTAGAAAATATTAATTGTAGGAAGTTTTTTATAAATATAAATTTTATAAACATATAACTTCACATTATTCCTATTAGATCATAAGAAATTGAAATTAATTATCTAAACATTCAACTTGTGATATCTTGAAAAAATGATCTTGTATAATACACACAGAGGTAAATCTTCGTTATAAAAAGAATGAAAATGATTAATGGATGATAATTCTTAGAAAGAACATTACTGGAAAGTATACTAATCTTTGAATTTATTTAATAATAATGTATTAATCAAAATATTTCCTCGATTTTAATGTCAAACCGATTTACATATCCAAATTTATTATGTAATCGATTGGAAATACTTAATTGAAATATTTGAAGCATTTCTGCGATATCTCGTGTTGCAGATTATTTTCAATCAAGGCCTTTATTTGTTCATTATCTATTTTATTTCGTTTGCCAAAAAGCGTAAAAAATATTAACAAAAAAGATCTTATTATGAAACTTTGCAAAAGGAAAATTAGCAAATACAATCGTTCGTAGCATCTTTAACGTACACCACAGATATCTTTTTTTTCAAATTTACACAGTATTTTTACGATAATAATATGAAATGATATGGCGAGAGTATGTCTTTTATCTTTCATTTTTTAATCTATTGTAACAAGTGACATAATCTTTATTAATTTTGATATTTTTTTTGTTTCGTTATCGAAAAAAGTAGGCACCAATATGCAAATTGTAAAAAATTTACATAAGTATTTACTTTCAAAAGTCATTAAGAATACAGGTCGTGGATAACGTATCTTTTCTTCGATTCTACGCATGTTGCAAACTGCATTGCTCAATGCAAGTAAGTAAATACCTATGAGTGCAGTTGAACATCTTCAATGATAAATCATATTTAACGTTTACTCGATAAAGAATTTCCTTGAAATCTATATATAAAAGGAATGAAAAAATGAATTTTAATTTATAACAAAGGACTTTTACTTTATTCAATTCTTTATAGAACATGATTAATTATAATAAGTGATTCATTATTTTACATTATAGCCGTATTTGTTTATATATATACAATAAAAAGAAGAAAAAATGGAATGATAAAATTGAATTTAATCAGAATATTTGCAACAGCAATATCGATTCAGTAATAAATATTACATAATCATATATATCGTATACACATATACATTCATTATATCAATCGATTGCAATACTTTCAAATCTAAATTGCACATTGTGTTACCAATCGAAATATTATTAATATATAATAGAATATATTTTTACGAGATCACAAAATGTGTCTAAAGAAAATAATGAGAAGATAATGAATGTGTTTACTTCGTTGGCGCTTTTTTTTTACAGAAAATGAAAAAACACGTCATGATTACTTATCTAAAATGATAAATACGGTGTTCGGCGCGTCGTAATTTAGAAATTGTGGATAAATCAAGCAGCTTTTCATTTACATTATCGACTAACAACAATGTACTTTACATCCTTGTTACTTACCTTGTTGTCACAAGAGTTTGAAGACAATCTTAAATTTCGATATTATTAATTGTTGGCACTTGAAAAGGAAAGATCTATTGTTTATCGATAAATCGTACTTCTTTTTTGGAAGGTATATCGAATGAATATAGATGAGCACTAGTACTGTCCAGTTGTAGAACTTTCAACAAAATGAAGACGTCTTTATAATCATCAATTTAACGTGACCACCGATCAGTTGCGACTGAGCTACTGAACGTCACGCGTACGCAAGAGAGAGAAATCCTAAAGGAATGGAAAAAGAAAAAGAAGGAGGGATGAAAAACGCGTTGGTACGTAGCATGTTTAATAAACGTACAGTTCTTTTTTCCTATTGTCCTCCGAGGGGGCATAACGACAAGAGAAATGATACGTTCATTCTACCTTTTTCCATTTTGGATGTTCTCAAGATCCACACAGAATAAAACCGATCTGCATCAGTGTTTAAACCTCTTTCCTGCTCTGTTTCAACGAGTTCTGTTTTCTTTCTCTATTATGCATCCAATTAATAGTTATGAGCCTTCCTATTAATCAAGAAAATACGTGATAGTCATCAAGAAAAGGCGGAGGAACGTTTAGCTATTCTAACCAATGAAAACCGAAGGAGAGTCTCCCTCCATGCGGATGCCAACTGGTCATAAACGAACAGCACTATATACACCGTTTTATTTTAGATAAGGAAATATGCTTGCAAAGTATATTTGTTGTGAATTGCCACTAAATTGAAATTTTCTTTTTTCCTCTTCTTTACAATCGCATTCTCTATAAGGAGAGAAAAATGATACAAAATTTGGCGATATTTGGAAGAAGTCCACATCGTTATAATTCGTGTTGCACTAGGAGATGCATACGAATTTGCGAAAAAAACGATATATACGTCATTGCGCGCGCAAAGTAGTTCTTCGAACGAATGACTACTGGTTGGTCTGACGGAAATTGGCGATTATATACGAAACTATTACGCATGCGCAACATCTTCGACTTCGGCTTTTCCCGTATTTCCCCCAATTACTTTTTCATAATTTTTTTGGCGCGAATCGTTATGTCATTTTAATTATTGTTTTCCTTTTTTTCTTTGGAAATGAATATTAAATTGTCTTAGGAAAAATGCTTGATAAATCACCATTTTGATGCGAATGTATCATCGTTGGAAATTATGGAAGAACAAAGATCTTTTGGGAATTATGCGATATCTGAACGTGCTTTAATGAAACTTGAAACAATTAAAAATGCGTTAAAAGATGATATTTGTAAGGCTGATAATAGGTGGACAGTGATAGGAAATAAGGTAAGAATATTTTATTTTTTATTTTTTAAATGATAATCGCTAAATTTATTTATTCATAATCATAATCATATAGAAAGCAGATAATGTAGACACAGACACTGAGGAATCTGATGCAATGGATATTGAGGAATCAACGGATATTATGAATGCCACCCAATTACCCTCGACTCAATTTTATTTTACTCAGGTCACAAGAAATCATATTAAAGAAGATACTGAAGATAAAGATGATACCGCTTTAAAAATATGTGATATTATTGAAGTTTTGTATGAGGGATTAGAACGCAATAATGGGAAATTAGACTTTGTTCATTTAGAAAATCTATCGAATAATGATCTAATCAAAGTTTTCACAGATTTAGGTGAAAAACTAAGTATTAAAGGTATTTACAATTTGTGTTCGTCGATCAAAGATATTAATTTAGAAGAAGGAATTAAATATATGGGTCTCATATGTACTTATGTATTATTACCAAAGGTATTTGGTTTTTATTTATTATTCTCTGTCAAAAATACAATTTGTAACTCATATTTTTATTCAGATAATTAAACTCGAAGAATCATCAAGATTAATAACATCTGGTATTGGAGAATGCGTTGACAAATTTCCAGATGAAGTTTTAAAATTTATTTTCATACCTGTTTTAAATATCGATTTAAAAGATGCATCGATTATAAATTTTATCGTTAGTGCTTTCCAACCTGCGAAAAGATCTGTTCTTATTTTGTAAGTAATTCAATTTATTCTTTTTGCAATTTAATTTAATTTATAATATACAAAGTTTTTAAAAATATGTGGGCATAACTTCAAAGGTGATTTTAGTACATTAAAATAAGAAAAAAGTTCATATTATCATATGAATTATGTATTATATTATATATCCTGTTACATAATTTTTATAAAAGCTGTTCAAAGTAGTTACCTTCAGCTTCAATGTAGGCTTTTATATGTTTTATCATAGATCTTTTCGCTCATTCAAAAATACCAGGTGTATGTTTGAATATGCATCATAATGCAATATGATCATATGAATTATTTTTTCTTATTTCAGCATACTGAAACACTATATTACACGCATATGACAACTTATTTTTCTATGTTCATAAATATTATTCTTCTATGTTCAGAGAATATGTAGAAAACACAAAGGAGTTAAAAGAATGGCATATATCTATTTTAGAAACATTGTTATCTGTAAAGGTAGACCAAACGATATTCGATAAATTAATAAAATTATTATTGGGACAAGCAGTTTTCTTTTCGACAAATATGAAATTTAGCAAATTACTTTTGTCTTTTTTAAAAGCAAATACAATTATATCGGAAGAACAGAAAGACTTACTGCGAGAAATAATTGAAGTCAATGAAACCTTTTTAAAAAGGCCTATTGAAAATATTTTAAGAAAAATGTAATTAGGCTGTAATCTGTAAGATCATTTTTGTATTCTATAAAATTTATTATAAAAAAGCTGTATTATTTTTTGTATAATGTGATTATCATATATCTATATGCATATACTTTATTATCTAGACCTGCAAGTGGCACATCATATATACACAGTGAGTCATAAATATTTGTATCTCATATTCTTACAATCAAGATGGAATTAAATTTGTGAATATTTTTTGATTTTACATAAGAAGAATTCCTATGGTACGAATACTCCTGTGACTCACTGTTTATATATATATATATATATATATATACGTGCATACATATATGCAGCAATGCTTCAGTAATATAGTACAAGCATGGCTGAAGAATTGTCGGGTGTAACTATAGTAATATTTATAGCTGCTGGAATACTAACAATACTGTTATTATTCATTTTTGCTAAACGTCAAATAATGAGATTTGCTTTACGTTCACGACGTGGACCACATATTCCTATTGGGCACGATGCTAAAAAGGTATACGAAATTTTAAGGTTACAATTTTGTTTTTATCTCAAGTACAAGTTTAAATTAATATATATTATAGTCACTAAAGAGAGCTATTGAAAGACGTATAGAAGTAATACCAAGAATTCAATATGAACCACAACTTATAAGTGACTCCAGATATATTTTAACTCCTGGCAGTCAGGTTCCGCCACATTATTTTAGACTGAAAGCTGTAGATGATATTAAGATCTTAGGTATGTATATTTAGTAATTATTGAAAATGCATATATTTTATTTCATGTTTTTATTAATATAGAAGCTGAAATAACAAAATATGATAGTTGTTTAAAAAGGCATCCATCTGAAAACTTAAGAGCGTATTTATTATCGACTCTTGCCACACAATTAAATGGAAGTGGTCAACGCTTGATTCATCAATTTTGTGATTTGTATGAACATGCAAAACATGATCCAACAGAATTTGGGGACGAAGAATACCAAGTATATACACGTTTATTTCTTAAATTAATGGATGCGTAAGTACACTATTAATTTTTCGAATAAAGTAAAAATGAATGGTTTGTGTTATAATCCTCTGGTATTGATTATTCGTGGTTTTTAGAGCTCGCCTTTTGAAGTCTTATCCAAGTAGTAAAAAATCCAGTCCAAGTCGTACACCAATAAAGAAGAACGTAGAAACTAAAAGAAATATATTGGAACCAAGAATGCGTTTACCTGAGGATCAGGTGTTAACAGGATCAAGACCAAGCACATTAACAGTAATGGCACTAGATAATAGCGAAACATCTGTTTAGCATTATGAGAATCGTCACATACAACATATGTGACGAGTAAAATGTGTATATAAGTATATATATATATATATATATATGTACATATATTTATCTGATTTAATTTTTTTTTATTTTCTTTTGTTCATATATTCATAAAAAAATATATATGTATAATATTTATAACTTCTTACCAAATAATAAGCATTGTATGGCAGTAAAGTAAATATTATTGTTAGAAATTTAGAATAGATAGTTATAATTTTTATATACAATACTGCTCTTTTTGATATTTATTAGAAATGTATGTCTATCATATAGAATTTAATATTCAAAAAAGTAAATTAATTGTATCATTGTACACATTTATACATTTAAATCTTTTAGATTGTCTACTCTGCTAAATAAGTAAACCACTTCTTATTGTAATGCGGATGATGTTTTAAGGAGATTAATGAATTATGAAATGTAGATTTATACAGTTCCGGTATAGGACATTTTCTCATTTGATATAACCATTCCATTACCTGAGAAATTATTATTCAAAATTACTCTTAATGTAGTACCAATTAGAAGTTATTCGCATGTATAATTGCATGCATACTATAATAGAAAATATCTAGTTCTTAAAGATTACCTGAGGAATCATATGATCTTTCCAATGTTGTAAGTCAGCAAGCCTAGCAATAGCTTGTGGAAATAATCTTGTTCTAATTCGTTGCGAAGATATAATAGAATTTGTATCCAATATTATGCAATCCATTCCCGATAAATAAATAATAGAAATGAAAAAAATATCACAATAAAATATAATTTGTTGGTTGTTTTCAGATATTTCTGGTATAAGTGATAAAATACGATTTATGAAATCGATAGCCCAATCTACTGTATATATTTTAGATCGCACTTCAGTTTGTACTCTTTGAACTTCTTGTAACAAATATAATTGTACACTGAAAAAATATAAGATTTATTTTCTTTACAGAACATCATTATGATTATAGCAGTGTTTATAAATATCATCACTCATTATGATATTTTTCCTTACTTGGGCATAGTGGCAATTAGATTAATTAATTCGTTCATCCAATTTAAAGGCATCTGAATGCTATTTATAGATAGTTCTGCCCTAATAGTTATAGCATTTTTCAGCTTTGTAACTGGTGTTTCCCACCATACATTAGGCGATGTCATTCTCTCGATGTGTTCAACTGGTAATGCTAATACTGCAGAAATATACGGTTTGTAATGATTTTGCGTTAAGTCTATTTGATCTAAAAGATTATCTAAAGTAGTATAGAGTAATGTTCGAATAGCATCATTTATTGTTTCATTTTTTAAAGCACTGGCATAGGAATGCATAATATTCTTAAATAAAATTACATTTGTATCATTATCGCTTGATAAATTTGCCATAACATATGATAATGTCGCATCCAACAATGGCTTCATTTTTTGTACTTGCATAGCTTCACAGAGAATCTCTAGATTTGAATATAATATTTCATGTTCTTTACTTTCTAATAAATCTTGTATATTTTCATCATGTTCATACATTGATAAATATTCTTCAACAAAGTTTCTGGCACTCAATGATATGACTGAGTGATGGCATGCAATAGTGAGACTGTATTTTTTAGCTTTCTGAGATATTTCATTAATTTTATGTAAAAAATTCCAATTTATATTTGGCAAAGGCTTCGGATATTTGAATGCAAATATCCGTAAACATTCTAAAAGGACATTTTCATTGAAGGGTTTAGTTACATCTATACGTCTTAAATATTCACCGACTATTCTTATTATACTTCTTTCTGGTAAGTATTTAAAATCATTTGGCTCTCCATATGGCCAATTATATATCCCAGATCGAAAATTTGTAATTTCGCGTGTAATAAATGAAATTAAAATATTACCAGCTGCATTCAAAGTCATTTTATTTACTTTCTCTAACATTTTGATCCAGCACGTGCCTGGTATATGCTGAAATATATTTTTTGATTCTTTATCAGTCGAAGTTGATGTAGTAATATCACATTTAAAATCATCTGGTAAAGTTTCTAATGCAATATCTTCCAATCGATAAAAAGCTATTGCCTTAAGTGCAGCCTCACTTATCTTTGGATCATTTTGAATAACATATGACCATAATATCTTCAGTATATCGTTAATCAAAGTTTCATCTAAGTAGCTACTTTCATTTGTGAAAGATGGAATATTTCCAAAGAATTCACACAAAGTTTTTATAACAATTGTACGCTTTTCTTTCCTCATTTTTGGTGCTATAACTTTCCAAACAGAGGAAAAGTGGACAACAGAAGAACTGCAAAGAGCAGAAATACTCTTAAGTGCAAGTGCTGTTGCAGTACTGCCATTTGTATCCACACACTTATTTAATATTTGTGATATAAGCGGGACAAGTTCTTCAGCACATTCTGGGCGTTCCTCGCAAATGTGCTTAATCACTTTAGCACAAGTTATATCAGCATACCACGATTGATCATTTTGTAATGTTTTAATAAGTGCTGATGAAAGATACTGATAGCAGCGTGGATCTCTATCGTTCATCGTTGAGTAAAGTTCGAGAGCATAATATTTTAATGGTCCTTCACTATTGAATAATGTTTGCAATGTCTTATTTATAAATACTACATTTTCTTTTGTTATTACTAATTCCGGTAATATAAGAAGTAAGTATTTCAATTTATCAGGATCATGAGATTTTGATAACTTATGCATGATCAATGGCAACATGTGAGATGCAAAAACGATTATTTCTTTAGCGATTTGCATAAGTATATCACCAATGGCTTTTGTTATAATAACATCCTTACTTTGTAAAAACAAACCAGAAAGTATTAATCTATATTTATAACGTAAATCAATTGGACTTTTTGATAACATTTTTAACCATGATAAAATATTCTTGTCTGTTATTGTATTTAACAAATCGACACTTTCCGTGTAAAATTGAATATATGCATCAAAATGAAGTAATTTTGTGAATATTCCTCCTGGGTAGGAATTGCTGGCTTCTTTTGTCCACTTTACTTCAACAAGAGCTTTGTTTATTAGAGAATGAGCTTTAGTTAATGCTTCAGCAGACAACACAGAGGGATAAGGCATCCACTTCAATATAGATGCTATTAGCACATATATCAATGTTATATTGCATGACATTTTATTCAATACAAGCTCACCTGTAATTAAATTTAAAAAATATTATAAGTTACATGTTAAAACACACAAATAATGAATTAGTTATTATTAACGTGTACTTACATAGTTGGAAAACATTGGTTAAATAAAATACAGGACATATCACAATCATTTCGGATATTAATGCCAATATAATATTTCCTGATAAATTATTATATTTATTTATAATAGTAGATATTGTGTCAAGATTTGCAATAGGATCGAAACCATGTTCAAGAAACCATATACACACAGATGACAATAATGGAAGTAAGGCTATGCAAGTATTTTTGTCATTTTTAGATAGAGATGCTATTGCAAATCCAGAAATTGTATAATACGTTTCCAGACAAGTATCTATATCATTTGTACGAAGCCATAATAGAATTTCGATCTGTAATTCTAAAGCATTACTCAATTCCATTAATTGCCAAGTTTTTTCTTTGCAACCATCTGATAAAGTTGAAGAAGGGTTGCATAAAATAAATAAGAAGACCGGTCTTAATATTTGTATACTATTCTTCTTTATCCTAAAATAAATAATATCTTATACAAAATGTTTCATAAATGCATGTTAATACTTCAGGAGGTATTATTAAGTACCAATCTAAACCAAGTAAAAAAAGTCAAATGAACATATAAGTGATATACCTTAGTTTTTGAGTTATAGATGATTAAAGAAAATGCTCGAAGTGCCTGCCTCTCACCACCAGAGATGCTAGTATATATCATAACATTAAGCTCTACGCTTTCTCAAAAATACCAAGCATTCTTTGAATAGTCTCAAATCCATGTTGTATCCTTTCTTGTACATATACATTATTCACTTACATATAAGATTCAGATTAGGAGAGCTCAGTGGTGCAGTGACACTACTTAAAAACATTAGATAAAATTAAGACATACTAGATGAGGCATAGAGCAGCTTGTGCTGAGGCAGGCATTGAGAACATTTTTTACTTGTTTTAATGCATAGATTTACCCTCTGAAGTAGACATGCATTTATGAAACACCTTGTATATTATGGTTAAGTATTTATCATATCAATAGTTAATATATATAATATAGCACACACTGTTCATCAGGATGGTTCATTATAAAATGCATTTGATCTAACACAGCGTGCCAAGAATTGCTATCTTCTTTTAAAATAGTGATAAATGGAAACTGAGGCATTAGCGATGCATATGTACATTTATCTTCACTAGCATTAAGTTTAAAATCCAATATCAGTAAATGACTTATGCTTACAGTAATGGCAACATAATTGCTAGAAATTATAAAATTATTATTACATATATACATATATTTATATTTTATATGACACAAATTTGTACATACTTTGTAGAAGAAATATATGATATCAAAGTACAGAGAGCCATAGTAATAGATATTACTTCATTTTCTACGAGTCTCACTAATGCTTGACATATAGACGAAGTAAGTAATTTATCTTTGCTTTCAAGTTTTGACGTAAGAAATTTAAATTCTGGTATCTACAATAATATACACAAATATATACTATAATAAATAAAGTAGTTCACATAAGACTGTAAAGTGTTTTCCTAACCTTTAAAACATCATTAACTTTTCCACCTTTGTACTTATTTTTTATTATTTCATAAAGTTTAGATACTCCCTATAGGATAACAAAGAATGGTGTAAATAATTTTTACATATATTTATACACATGTGTACTTTCATAAGGTTCATCATAACAGTCTTGTCAAAATTGTGAGGTTAATCAATTAATAAAAATACTTACATGTGATACTAAAACAGGATTTTTTGAGGCTAATTTATATTCAATTACATCCATATTTTAGCATTAACGTTCTTCTATTATATCTATTATTATCTATTTACGCTATATTAACGTTTCCGATGTTGTTTATAACTCTCTTTAGAATGCCTATATAACCTATATTTTGAAGTACAATGTTAACGAAAATAGATTGCATTTCACATAATTTTATTAAGAGTCGAACATGTCAATTTTTCAAGTATAAAAACATTCTTCTTTCAACTTTATCTACATTCTCATATTTATCAAACTTACCTCGAATATTATTATAATATTTTAGTTAAATATACTTTTGCGCGACTACACACAACGGTTTGAATAATGCGCATGCGTCGTAAGAATCGAGTGAGTCAAAAAAAAGCCTATATATACTAGCAAAGTACAAATTATTCTGGCAATTATATATATTTAAAGAAGTGCAATAACGTTTATTCAATATTATCATTGTTGTTTGAAATATTTCAACTATTAATTTATCAAAAAAGAATTTATATATACATTTAAATCTGCCACACCCGGTAATAAAAACATTATTGAGATTTTTTCATATATTTATTTGTATGGACAAGTTGGAGCATAGTGCACAATATATTTAATATATAGTAGTCTGGGGAAGGGAATCAGAGTACATTCTGGAGTTTGAACACAATATCTTACAATTTAACGACAAGATGCCTGCATTTCTGTATTTGCTTCTGTACGTTTTTATGTTATTCGTATATTCATATATTCGAGATGTATAATATATATAAAGCGCGTAACGACTCACTATTTTTATCATTCTAAAAAAAAGGAGACGAGAGGAATACAGGTCCTTTTTGTTAGTTGTGTCGTGTTTTCTCAGTCCATATATATATATATATATTATATATATATTATATATATCAACATATATATATGTGTATATATATATAGATATATATATACATATAATATATATATATATATATTTTGTTTTGTTTGAATATTTTTCTTTTCTTTGTCTCTTTTTTTATTCAACTCTCACTCGACGATTTCTTTTTTAATGTGTAATTATGCTACGTCGTGGCAAATAGTACTTGCTAGATTATATCTTTAGTCCGGAGATTGTCTCCAATTGCTAATTACATTCGTTTTCTATTAGACATTAGGGTGGTAAAAGGGAGGCGCGAGGGCGAGGACAAACTGTGTGTGCGTGGGCAATCCTGATACGTCGTCATCATCTTCATGGGATTAAATTTCTATCCCATCTTCTGGTAATGTATATGCGATTGCAAATGCGCTAGGTACATTAAGGCTTTTTACTTGCGAGGGTTGTGTTGTTGATGTTGTTGTTGTTGTTGTTGACGTTGGATAAAATTTGCGAAAGGAAACGTTATTATACGATTGGAGACAGCTCCTTTTAATCTTCTTTCTTCTTTCCTCCATCATCTTCTTCTTTTTTCCTTTTTCTCTCATCATTAGCGATTAACAATCTATATTAAATTTGTTTCAAAGCAAATACATTATACAGCCTATACACAATCGGTAGAAGGTAAGTTTGTCTTCCTTTTTTTTTTTTTTTTAATCTTCGTTTATTCATGCGAAGAACGTAGGGCAGGGTCCAGGTACTTAGGCTATCTGCACATTTTCATAAAAATGTCCTTTTTTAAGATCACTAAAAGAGACAATATAGAGTGAATCTTTTTTTTATGTACTCTCGGGCCTCTGACTTTTTCATTCGTTCGTTCTTTCTTCACATTTCTTTCTTTTTATTTTTATTTTTTATAAAAATCACAGCGTAGCTTTAGCATTATTTTTAAAGCCCACCCTTTCTTCTCCGCTGAGTACCCCACTAAAACTGAGGCAGCTCGTTTCATTTCTACTTTTCCGTTACATTTCTCCTTCCCATTTAGTAAAGTGATTTTTGTTTTTACTCGTTCGATTAAAAACGTTTTTCCTTTTCCTTTATTTTTGATTTGATTTGGCATTTATAATACACTATGCGATTAGATTAAATTTGTTGTCCGATACCACTGGCAACTAGAATAGTTACTTTGCCCTCAACTGATATCATCACTCTTCATCTTATTCGATGACGATGATATAATAAAATAATATAATAATTAATAATCATAATAAAAGATAATAATAGTAATAGTTGTTACTAAACTAATTTTATGATAGTTTACTTTATATATACCATATTATATGTATATGTAATACATTTTTTACTTTTTTTCGTTATCATAGCATTTCTTATTTTTTTTTTTTATCTTTTTCACGACGCTGCACTTTTATTTTTTTCTTTTCTTTTTACTTTAATATGTAGTACAACGTTGTCTAGCATTTATTTTAGTAAACAAATAGCGTTTCTAACGTTCAAATTTACAATCATTTAATGTCATTCTAATTATTTAGAATTATTATTTTTTAAATCTATTTGTTGCTTTATTATATATATGAATATATATATATATATTCCTTACAATTGTCTTGTTAACATGTAAATCAATTAAATTTATTTTAATACGTAATAAAATTTTTCTAGTAGGTAATTTCAAGGTATCATACAATCGTTTCTTTCTTTAATTTCTTTCTCTCTCTCTCATTTTCTCTTATTCTTTCTCTCTCTTTTTTATTCCCTACAAAAATTGAAAGTCAGCATTTTCATTCATTCCTTTTTTTACAAGTTTAAAATTACACCGATTCAATTTGACGTTCAATAATGCGCACGCGTCAAACACATACACAAATTATTACTATTTATACAATAAACACCTGTTCTACACGCACACAAAATTCTTCTCTCTTCTTTTCTTTCTTCTTCTCTTCTTTTTCTCACTTTCGTTTGCTAATTTCTTACGTAACTACGTTCAATAAAAATTGTTTCTTTGTAAATGTGAGTACTCGAAGTTAAAAGGTCGTAGTAAGTGAAAAGATGTACTCGCACAGTAACGAACGGATTTTTTTCAATGTACACTTATAATTTTGTTCTCTTCATTTTTATTTCTTTTTCTTTTCTTTTTCGACAATCGTGCGAGAAAAACAGCTTCGAAAAAGGATCTCTCAACAAATATCCTTGTAGTAGTTTTTCAGTCTAACGGAATATCCCTATAGATGTTTTTACTTCTCGTAGTTCTCATTCGTTTCTCTTACGTACTCTCTCTTTCTCTCTTTCTATATATATTCTCAATTAAAATACGACTGATTCGATTCACATGATTGATCAATTGAAAGAACTTTTCTTCTTTGCGATTTACACGATCTAAGACCTTCTCTTCTTACTCCTTATTTTCCTTTTATCCCATATCACGCTGGTCGAAAAAGCTTTTCCATTTTCAATTGGATATTTCTATACACCTTAATCGTATTGATAAAATACGATTGTTGGTCGTTCCTATATTTTTGACCTCGAGGTCCATTGGATCGATCTTTATTATACGAGGACGAAGATAAGCTTTGTTGAACCAACGTGAATAGAACATTCAGTATATATATCTTGCATTGTCAAAAGCTTAATTCACGATTTCTTCTATCGAACCGTAAATAGTTTCGTGAGTCGATTGAATCAAATACTCGTCCACACGCTAAAGCGTCCACTAATAAAACATCATTCTCGCGCATAAATCGTTTATTCATTTTTGTTAGATAAAAACTTTACTAAGCTCTATTATGATATATTATATTTTACACTTATATCTTATATTGATACGACGACGCTTGTCCGAGATTAATATGCTTACATTATTTTATTTACAAATTTATTTACAAAGGAAAATGTTTGAACCATCTTGGTTCCGCACCGAACTCAAATACACGTTCGTATTTATGTATAATATGTATATGTGCATTCATGTATGCATTATGTGTGTATGCATTATGTATATATGTATGTATGTTTGTATGTATCTATGTATGTATGTATGTATGTATGTATGTATGTATGTATGTATGTATGTATGTATGTATGTATCTATGTATGTACACAAGAATCGGTTCACGCGCTTGCATCGAAGTTAAAAAACAAAACAAAATGGAGAGAGAAAAGACAGTAAAAGTTGTTTCATTTCTTCAATCGTTAACGATACTTCGAGATAAGAATGGTTTGACCGAAAGAAATGATTTCTCTAGGACATTCTCGACAACAACTCGGCAAGATTTAACTATTACTTTTTCAGTCGGACTCTGACGACGATGCTCTCTCGAATGAGGATCTCTTCGAAGGTAACTGAAGTGCTTGTCCATAGCTCTTCGTGATTTAAGTACCAACAGCCTCTTTACGGCTCGTCCAAGGTTTGAGACAGAGACAGAACAGAAATAGAGAGAAAGAGAGAGAGAGAGAGAGAGAGAGAGGAAGAGAGAGAGGAAGAGAAAGAGAAAGAGAGAAAACTGGCGAGCGAGTAAATGAACTTGAAGGAAAAATGGATAAGGCGATCCTCCGGAGAGTATTCCTTAGAAGAAGAGGATTTCCTTAGGGTTGTCTGGCCGCGACGGCACCGTTCGAGGCCGGATGCGAGGCGTGGTGAGTTTGTGCGGAGCTGGTTCCGGCGGTTCCGGGTAGTACGGGACCGGGGGCCGCGGGTCACTTGGGCGGAAATGGCGAGATCACCGAGGCAGCTACCGCGGCGGCCTGCTGACTCGCTAGTACTGCCGCTGCAACACACAGAGACAGACAGCAGGCCATTAATGTTTCGAATGCCACGAACAAATTTTCTTTTTTCTTTTTTTGTCTTTTTTTTTAAATCCAAATTCTAGATCTATCTCTTTTTATACAATGATTTTTGTAATACCGAAATAACTCCCCAATTTGAACTCGTCCATTTGAAAATAAACTAACGCAAATGTAATTTGAAATAGGTTCGCGTATTCGTTTGGCCAACATCTTGCCAATCCAGCCCAAGAATGTTGTTCTGTGCGTTCAGTTGAGAGCTTGCGATATTACCTTAGAAAACAAATGGAATTTAATCATAGTTTTATTAGCGTTCACGATGGGGGAAACGATAAGGAATGGATCTTAAGTCTAACCCTTAATCCGATACGTTAGACCATTTGTAAGTAAGCAAAGTTCACTTGGAGGATTATAGATTTTGTTCATTTCGATTATTATTTGCGAGAAATACGGGGTGAGATACGGAACGTGTGTATGTATATGTGTTTAGAGAAACAGAAAAATATTATAAGTTACATTTAAAGAAAGTGTTTTGTAACACGTATCATTTCTCTCTTTCTCTCTCTGGCAGTGATAAGCTCTACTTAACGCAATTCTAACAAAATCCGATTTGGTTAAATTTAAAAGAAACGTAAATCATAGAACGTGGAGAGTTCGATGCTCTGAAATATTTCGATATGAACTGTGAAAAGTGCGATTGCGTTGCGTTGTATCAATCAAAAGGTTTATAAGAAAATTTATGTACATTGCGATCGAATGGCGGGATTTTTACTATAAACTTTTGCTGTCTCTTTTCTCTCTTTTCTCTCTCTCTCTATATATATATATATATACTTTATTCTTTCTTCATCTTTAGCAATGTATCATAAAAGCTTTACTACTTCCGATGCAAGCGCGTATTCTGTCCGTAAAATTCGTACAATGGATCTTAATAAAGTGTTCGATAGCGCTAGATGTAGAATAAGCTTCATCTGGAAGACTACAGAGTCTAACGAAATATGTATGTATGTATGTATGTATGTATATATATACACATGTCATACGTTTCGTTCGAAAAATTAAGGACTACTTTTTGTCCTATCGTTCACCGATCATTTATATATCTCTCTAATATTAATAATAATATTATTATTATATTATATTATTACTATTATATTAATTTTAATATTATACTATCATTATCGATAATATTATTATTATTATAATTAATATTATTATGACAATTATTAAGATTACATACGAGTTTTTAAGTAGTTTTGTTATTTTTCATATGGTTTTCGGAAAGTAGTACGATAAATAATTATCACAGTCTGAACTATATACCTAATACCTACGCACCCTATGACGGTACACGGCTTATATATGTTTCATTCTTATAACGGCCGCACTTATACTCCAATATTTCCAAAATATTCAGTCCATTAACTATGCAATTATTGTATGTATTATGTATGTTTGTAAGCTATATACTTTTATCGTATAAACAAAAAAGAGAAAACGAAATAAAAGGAAGATAGAGAGAAAAAAAGACAGAAAAAAATGCCATCACCAAGGAAACGACAATGGTGGTGGTGATGATGAAGATGAAGATAAAGATGAAGATGAAGATGCAAATGGTGGTGATGATGATGATGAGACCACACGCACGTTCAGGATCGTTGCCATTTTTGTCGATGGAATTCTATTACATACACGTTTATAACTTTGCTAGTAAGAGTGCTTTAAAACGTCGCAATAGCTCTCTCTTTTTCTTATTTTTCCTTTTTTTCTTTTTTTTTTTTTAATTATTCTTTATGCTTTATCTTTTCTCTTTTCTTGTAGTTTTCTATAGAAAAAATTGTTTTCCTTATCGATTTTTCGTAACAAAATAATAGTAGGTCGGCGAAGGCTACAAATACGCGATTATTCGTTTCGTCTTTCCCTTAAGAAGAAGAAAAAAAGCTCTGTTGTTTTATTCCCCTTTTTTTCTTGCATTCCTCGTCGTCCTCCTCGTTAATTTAATTTAATTTAATTTAATTTAATTTAATTTAATTTACATTAATTTAATTTATTTAAAATTTAATTTAATTTAATTTAATTTCTATATACTATTTTATTCTATTTTATATTATGTAATTAATCTTTTTCCTCCGTGTTCACTGAATTAATATGTTTTTTAAAATTGTGTGTTCACTGAAGCACCAATATGGTGTACACGGTTCACGCGCTCGGAGCGTGCGGTGAACGCTGCCGAGATTTATTTTCTCTCTTTACCCGCTTCTCCAGCGATCGCGCGTTTAGTCGTTTCTATCATGAAATAATAGATATACGATTTAAAGTCTTAACACTGTCGATCGAAGAAAAATCATTTTTATTCCGCCGAAGCGCAGGACACAAACACGTGCGACATGCTAACGCGCGACGAACGGTAACGTCAACTCGAAACATTTTTTTTTTACCGGCCTCCGATGATCCTCTATATTTCCAATCGATCGTTTTTCTTTAATAGGCAAGTCTAATCTAGGCTAGATTTTCCAAGTGTTTACAATTGTTCACATAACTTGCCACGATTACTATTAAGGAGAAAACGATATACGGGGGCGCGGTATTCGTTCAAACTTGGACGAGGTCTTTTATCAATAGCGAATCTAAACGTCTAGCATGTTTGCTTCTCGTTGGAAGATGCGTTACGCTGTTTTTGCTCGAGTTTCATTTATTAAACCAAGAGAGAGGCACGGTCTCATCAAACATACGACGATCGTTCGACTCGTTGGTCCAATCCGAGTTGGAGTTCGTTTTCCGTTCATTTAATTATCCCGCGAATCGCCGGAAGCCTTACTGTCAGGGTCTGACGAGAGGCTTACCTCCGTAAGGAGCGGGGTACTGTCCCGTTAAGAGGGGGTAGCCTAATCCCACATGCGTGTGATGATGCGTGTGTACGTGTCTCTGAGGTGGCGGCGATCTGCTGTCCTTTCCAAGATTCCCGCTACCGGTATCGACCTGCCCGGATTGTTGTTGTTGACCCCCGGGTTGTCCTTGTTGTTTGCCAGGCTGTTGACCCTGACCCTGAGGTGGACCTGGCCCAGCTACCGAAGTCGGTGGTCCGCTAGGCGGCCTGGCAGGCGTTGGCCCAGCCGAGGACGGGCTGGCCGATGCCGCGGACGTTTTGGGAGTCGGTGATTTTAGGGCACGTTCCTGAAGTTCGTGGATCTTGTGCGCCGAATAATACTGATTTGCGTGGTGCTGCAAAAGATCGAGGGCTTTGCCACCCGGTGGACGGCTGAGATCCTCCGGTGCGTGATATCTAGGTAACTGATGGATGTAAGGATTACTCGAATAAGGCCCAGGCACTAACATAGGACTTAGACCTCTGTAAACTGGATGGCCAGGGTCGAAAGGTATTGCACTGTAATGCTGCGGTGGCATGTATCCTGGATGTATGTACGCGTATTGTGACGTGGGCGGTGGAGGTGGTCCCTGAGTCTCCATGGTAGGTTTTACGCCCTCTTGTTTGTTCTTGGAATCGTCGTTCTTGCCCAAATCTTGCGGCTTCTCTTGCTTCGGTTGATGCTTCGGACTCGGCGGTGGAGCTTTCGTCTGTTGACTTTGTTTGCTCGATTCTTCTTTTCGTCTCTGTTCTCCAGGATACAGGTAATACCTTCTGTCGTCTTGCACGGGACCAGGAGGTGGTGGAGGAGGTGCCGCTCTTTGACTTTGCGAGCTATGGTACACGTGATAAGGACTCATCTGACTCTTCATCTCGATACTTTCTTTTAGTATTTGATGATTTTCGTGTTGCTTGTCTTTCAAGCTAAGTTGTTGCGATTGCGGTTCTTGCTTCATTTTTACTTTTTGCTCGTGCGCCTCTTGTTCCTGCACTTGTTGATTTTGTTGTTGTTGCTGTTGTTGTTGTTGTTGTTGTTGCTGTTGCTGCTGCTGTTGTTGTTGCTGCGAAATCGCTTGCGGTGGCTGATACGGATAGCCAGGAGGCATATATCCACCGTAACCACCATAATAATGCGGTTGCTGTTGAGGTTGAGGCAAAGGCTGGCTCAGTTCCTTCTTTTCCTTCTCCGAGACGACGCTTTGCAAACTCGCCATCGATGGCATTTGCGGTATGTTCAAAGGTTTCATTTCCTGTTTTGGCGTGAGATCGTTCGGTTTCTGGTCGACCGATTTGCTATCCTGAACGCTCGGCACCAAGTAAGGAGGTTGACCGTAATACGGGTAAATTCCAAAGTGAGCAGGTAGATGCGTCGGCGCAGTAACCTTGTTGTCTTTTTCTTGAGTCTGTTTCGACTTGTCGGCGGGTTCTGCCTCGAGAACGGGCGCCGCATCGTCCGATATGTCCGAGTAGGCCGGACTTTGAACGTCTTCCCTCGCGGAATCCACTATCGGCGCTTCTAAAGGCGAAGGATGTGGACTACCACCCGGTGATTTCTTTGATTTCTTTTTGTAGCCTTGTGGTTTCGACGTTCGCGGGTCCTTACTCTTATCCTGTTCTGGCATCAGTGCCGCCGTGGGCTTTACTTTGAATTGCGGCATCTTCGTGTGCAACGCAACGCTTGGATACTGTTGCATATGAGATTGTACACCTTGTCCAGGATGTCCAGTCGGAGGAGGCCCGCTTTGTAAACTCGCTTGTTGCGACACTTGTCCAGCAAGACCTTGAAGACCTGGGTGCTGACTCGCCATACTTTGTAAACTTTGTTGCTGCTGCTGTAAATTAGGCTGTTGAATGATGTGCGCTTGCGCTGGTTGTCCCAACTGCGTGGACAAGGGATGCTGCACGGGTTGTAACTGATGCGCCGGCGGCAATTGTTGTTGCATGGATGATTGTAATTGTTGTTGCTGTTGACTTGGTTGCATTTGTGGCGGTGGCACGGTTTGTAGCGATTGTTGGGCTTGTTGCAGCAATGGATTTTGTTGCTGATGTTGTTGAACTTGAGATGGTTGAGGAGGTTGAGGTATATTGAGTGGTTGCGGTATGTTTGTACTGGGATGTGGCGAAGGCACAGGCCTGGGAGATTGACTTGGATGAGGGCTCGGACTTTCAGGCGGATTCGTCGACGTTAACGACGTTTGACTCTGCTGCTGTTGCTGTTGTTGTTGCTGTTGTTGTTGCTGCTGTTGCTGCTGTTGTTGTTGTTGCTGCTGTTGTTGTTGCTGCTGTTGTTGAATACTCTGTTGTCGCGAGGAAGGTGGTGCTGCGGACGTAGGAGCAGGTAAATCGTCTTGGCCGAACCTTAAAACACCAGGTTTGACGATAGCCTTGTTGTCAGAGGTTAAAACTGGCATAGGTGTCTCTATGCCAGGCGAAGGTACCCGAGGTGGAGGCGGTGGGGTCTCCGGCGGTAAACTCGTTGCCGGTGGACTCGCCGCTCTGACAGGGGTTCCTTCTGGCTTGTCTGCTGGAGATTTCACCGGCGTCGCTGGACTCGGAACTTCGATGTTGCTCTCGTCGTTTTCCGACATGCTGGTGATTCCCTCCTTCGTATCATCATCGTCCGCGGAACCGTGCGCGTGACTCTGATGATATTTCAGTCCATTTATGTGTTTGTACTTTTTACTACAATTCGGTTCGGGACACTCCAAAAGAACCGGACTCGCTGGAGGCGAGCCACTCGGAGGCGTAGGAGGTGGTGCCCGTCTTTTGTTCTTTTCTTCTTCCTCCGGACCGCGAGACTTTCTCTTCGTAGCCGGATCCGATCTCGGTGGCACAAAGGCAGCTGGACTTGGACTTGCCGCTGGTGAACCCTGCGCACCCCTTCGACCTTTTGCGCCACCATTTCGTAATTTGCTATGTACCGAACTCCTTGTCTCGGTAAAATTACTCAGATCATTGCCCGGTGTAGAATTCGCTGCTGCTCGGCCACGCTTTCCACGACCTTTTGGTGTACGCGCATCCAAATCGCTGGTCGGTGAATCGCAAAACCTTGGAGGTGCCCAATCATGTCGCGTGCAATCCAACAGAGTACCGACGTACGTTTTACCCCGCCACGTTACGTTCACGACCAATACACCTGCAACAGAGAGAGTACGTCCCAAATAGTAACGATCGGTAAAGATTTTATTTGAAAGAACATTTCTTCCTTCTCCTTTTCGAGTAGAACAACAACGAGAATTAAATCTATTTTACACCTGTTTCGTTCGAATTCACGTTTAACGTTAAATGGATTAGTAAGTGTTATGTGGAAATGGTCATAACGATCACAATTAATTATTCGAGCTCTTATTACAACTCTTTCAATGCTAAATACAATATGACGTAGCCGTTTATCTAAACGATGCAACAAGAACGAGAGATGCCTAATCTAACTCGATGCTGGATAAACCGGTTCTAAAAGACTGCTTGCTTTTAATATCGATAAATTCCACAAGATCTCTCTTACCTATCGGATAATAAATTTCGTTCGAAGAGTTATATATGTCGGTTACTTTTAACTTAACCATATTCTCTGCCTTATTCGCGAGAGATTGTACATTTAATTGAAAGTAGTAGGTATGCGATCTTGGTACCTGTCGACGCGTAACCAGAAAGAGGATTAACATGCGAAGTGTCTCGACGGCTTATATACTTTTTTCTTTTATTATTTTTTTTTAGGAAGATACAAAAAGTCGTCTGGAATTTCATGGCGGATTTGTATGCGCATAATCGGCATTCTTTAAAAGAAGAATAATTTCCATTAGGAATTTTAGAATAAACTCATCGTTTAGATCTTTGTACGATATCTTTCATTAGGATCTAAGGAACATTTAATCGATTAAAAAATATATTATTTATATATTAGAAAAGAAACACATATTTAATAGAGGGAGGGAGGGGGGGGGATCGGTTGTAGTAGTCACACGAAACCCTGAGGCGTTTTGCTTGATTGAGTCGTTCCCCTTCGAGTTCTCCGTCGACGTCACTCCCATTTACCGCGAGAAAGATAAACGTATGGCCGAGGACCGTGAAGACAGGGGGATGATGATGAAACCGTCCATCCAACCCTCGTCATGCGCCTTTTCAACCTTTCCGATTCTTTTCTCTTTTTTTTTTCCTTTTCCCTCTTCTTCCTCATTTTCTTTTCTTTTTTTTTTTTCTTTTTCTTCTTTGCCTTTTCGTGTCAGCTAGTGGCACACCTAAGTGACTAAATGCATCTCTCCATCTAACGCGAGAACAGACAAAAACTTTTTCTAGACAACCGTGTCCCTTCCCCATTCCTCGCCCGCCCTATGTAACGATGTCAACGTTATCAATTTTTCTTTAGTACTCTTCAAGGAAAATAAGAAAAAGAAATACGTATAACAAGATCAGGAGGAGTTAGGCTAAACAGCGAGGAAAGAAAAGAAAGAAAATGTTTTCGTGTAAATAAGACACAAACGATGCTCGAGTTAACAACTCGAGGTGAATCGATTAAAGGGGATTAATGGAAGCCAACGCGAACAAGAGAACACACATCTTTTTCTCCCACCATATTATCATCGTTTTATACTAACTTTCCAAACCTCGATAAATCTTTCTCCATTGCCACTTTTATTCTATCCTCTTTCAAACTTATTCATTCTTATCGTGTAATCCGATAATAAATTGAAGTATACGGTAACGAAAGATATTGGAAATATTATATAATTTATTATATAAAAAATGTATGTATGTATTATATATATATATATATATATAGGTCGAGGAGAATTCGATTGTTCGGTTATACTTAGGATGAGCAAATCCTTGAGTGCACGATGTTGGAATGAAATAAGAGTTCTGAACTGGAGCGTGTGTATGCGTGCTGGTGATACTACATCATCTCGGTTGGTGTAGTATTAGAAAAAGCGAGGGTGAGGGATCAGGAGGAGGACGTAATGGAAGAAGGATGAAGGAGAAGGAAAGAGGATAGAAAGAAAAAAAAAACAAAGACGAAAGGTTCTAAGGGATGAGGAAGGCAGAGGTGAGAGAGATCTAAAAGAAGGAGGAGCAAAAAAAGAAAAAGATGAAAAGAGAGTAAGATGGGATAGAAAAAGATGAAGACATATAAAAAGAAAAGCAAAGCGAGAGAGAGAGAGAAAGAGAGGAAAAAGCTTTCCGATAAAAGAAAGGAAAGAAGGAAGGAAGGAAGGAAGGAAAGAAAGAAAGAAGATGAAGCGTAGGGTGAAATCGGTTGTGGAATAAGAACAGACGAGGATACACGTAAGGGACTGTGGAGCTGGATCCAAAGGGGCTTGCTTCCAATAAAGAGAAGCTATGCAGTTATATAGAACTTTATGTCCTCCTGGTACAATCCCACGCGAAAATTCCCAACGGTTGGTGTGTATCTCCTATAAGAGAAAAGTAAGAAAGAAGCAGGTTGTGAACGTTCCTATGGTAACAGAGAGAGAGAGAGAGAGAGAGAGAGAGAGAGAGAGAGATACGCTTGAGTGCTATCGACGAGGTATGTACATGTCACGAAGCTGTTATCGGAGGTGTGGTCGGTGTTAGGATCATACGGTCGGCTTCTAATCCTAATTAACGCGTTTATCGACAAGGGCACTCGGGCCCCAAGGTATAGTCCACGTAGAAAACTCGTTTAACTTCAATTATGAACAGCAGGAGGAGGAGGAGGTGGAGGAGGTGGAGGAGGAGGAGGAGGAGGAGGAGGAGGTGGTGGTGGAGAGGTAAGAAAAACTGGATCTTTTTTTTCGAAGCACATTCCATTTTCATTTAATTAATTTACCAATGGAATATATGCAAACGCTAAGTAGAATGTATAAAAAAGTATTATTGAAACACGTATACGTAATTATTCTATTTCATTGTAAGAAACTCATTCCAGTTATAACAACTACTAATACACTGTGTATGATTAATGTATGTATTTGCTTTGTGTCAATGTAAACCTATCTAGAAGTAATTTATATGAATGGTATTTATCGTAATTGAACATATCGACACATATTTTCTATATTTTATCGAGCGACGAAAATTGAGATAAGATTTTAGGCTATTACCAATTTGCTTTTATGGAAATTACTTTTATTTAGAATGATATTATGAGGAAAACGCCCACGATATTCGATTCTTTGAGAATTCATGACATACGGATAAAGCTTATATCGCTAACTTTTATAGAAACTACATATTATCGTTGGAAATGTATATTTTTTATTTTTATTTAAATGGCACAAGAGGTAGTAATCTTTGAATATCTCTGTTTTTTCTTTTCAATTAGAAATTGACTAAAATGATGACAACGTAGAAAAAATCGTGGATAATAATAGAATAATATTAGTTTGTGTTGTCTCTTACGTTAGAGTACGAGAAAATCGATAAACCAATGTGTTTCTATACATTTTATTACCTTTACACAAGTAACTATATCTATCTATCTAATGTAGAATCGTGTAGGTACAGTCTAAATGAAAATCTCGTTAGATCTACTAGAAAATAGTTAAGATTTATAAGGATCGAAACAGGATTCGTGATATATAGCGAAAAGTATCGAATATGTTTTTGCCGAGCAGGTAGTAGTACCGATGGGAGGGGGAGGGAGGGAGAGGGGTTTAAATGCGTTTTAAACTATTCGCGATAATATCGAACGCGAGTGTCTACGATATCTCACAATTATTGCCGAGCTGTGCGAGCCTATAGAATTTACTGTCGCGATAGTAAAGCATATACCCGTTGATAAGATGTAATAACAGTATTTACTCTTAATGCCACGAAGGCGGTCTACTAAGCGAATGTTTCGCAGCGTTTTGCGGCATATGCCAAGGAGTGACACATTTCCGATATCATCAAGAGAAATAACTATTTTTAACGTCGCCCATTATCGGATATCACTTTTTTTGTTATTATTGTTTTGTTTAATTTTGTTTTTCTTCACGGAAGGTTGTAGAACTCTTTTTACAATAAAAATGTTAACACCAGTCCAAATTTATTACAAAATAATCGATTGAATTTTCAATGATTTTCGATTAAAGTCCTAATTTGTCTAGTTAAAATGATTACAGAGATTAAAAAAATTATATTAAAATTATACGCAAACTTGTTATCTTCAGTTCAAAGTGAAATGTAAAATAAAGAAAAAGAAAAAGAAAAAGATGAAGAAGAAGTAGAAGAAGAAGAAGGATAAGAAAAAAGTAATAAAATATGAATGTGGTATCGAGACGTCAAGGACTACTCGTTCTCCTTCATCTCCTTTTTCTGACGACTCCGGACCACACACGTGCGTGCAGTTTCGTACATACCAAAAAAGAACGTTTCTTCTCTCCTTAGGTGTATATATTTGTTCTTATTTTTCGTTGACAAGAGAAACGTGCGTATAACTCTTGCTCGTGTATATATATATATATATATATATACATTGCCTTGCCGAGTAAAAGACTCGCGGCGATAGACTTTGAATGCTTTTTATAAGATCGATGAAGGTTCCAGAGACAACTATGGTGAAAAGAAAAAGATACGTGTACGGTGACGTGTGTACCAGGAGAGGAGAACACGCGTTGTTCGTTACGCATGGCTGATTAAATAAAATCAAGGAGTGCATTGGTACTAAAGAACAATAACAACGACTACAACGACAACAACAACGATGATGACAACCCCCCTCCTCCTCCCCCACCGTTGCCTTGAACGTTCATTTGCATTTCTGCTTTATAACAGTTGATGTATTAATAATTTTACGTTGGGTTAACACAAGTTAATCTCCGGCAATAAACGTCCTATGCGCGAATACGTAATTATACGTTTATAGGTAATTAATGATCGCGATCGTGTAACAGAAATAACGAATGATGATATCGATAAATTATACTACTTCAAAATATCACTTTAAATGAAAGCGGGAAAATCGATTAATCCTATATGTTATTCTTGATAACGAGAGAATTTATATAACATCGAATATCGGTTTTCCTTTCTTATACTTTTCCATCTTTACATTTCGTTATTTGCTAATAAAAGGATGAGATGATATATAAACCGGTTTTTTTCAGGCATTTAACATTTCTTTTCGAATATTTTATTCTCTACATCTCCTTGAGATTTCGAACATTTTTCTTTCTCGTATTTTCATCGATCAAACTGTTTTAACTTCTAATGATTCTATCGATATACTCGGAAATATACTTAACAAGTCATCGAGATTAATCAGGTACATAACGCGCGTTGTTTCTATACTACCTGCATTTCATCGTTGAAATTCCATAACGATAGAAACTTCGTTTATTACTATTTACGTGTGTACGTGTATAAGTAGAGACAAAGAGAAAGGGAGAGAAAGAGAGAGAAAGAGAGAGAGAGAGAGAGAGAGAGAGAGAGAGAGAGAGAGAGAGAGAGGAGAACGTGTTATTCTATCGAATGATCGCGATAGTAGTCATTATATTTTTTCTTACAAAGTTTCTATCTTTCTTTCTCTCATTCTCGTTATCTCGTTTTTTTTTATCATCGATATTGCAACACACTCGAGACTCGCTTCAATCAAATAACATCGATAGAGTTTTTATAACGGATTAACTTTTGAACAAAACGATGAGCTAAATAAAGTATAGTATTGCAAGAAAGATGAATTCTTTTCGTTAACATTAAATATGTGTGTGTGTGTGTGTGTGTGTATGTGTGTGAGAGAGAGATTGAAGGAACTGGTCCCGAAGAAAGAGACTTGGATGCCAAGAATAATATGAGAGAAGGAAAGAAAGTAATAAAACACGATAGGGCGCCGAGTCTCGACAGATTGGCCCAGTATTTGATGGAGAATTCGATGAATTTATGGATTTCCTAATCCCTCGTTATAGTAGAGGAACCCTTCGAGAACTTCTACTACGGGAGAATCGATACTTTCTTGCTTCTGACGTGCGCGAGAACCAACATGCTTTTACTGACAAGATAAAGAGAGATCGGCTTTAGTATTAATGTTGCCAATCCCTTAGGGAAAATCTTCGAGCAACATCGCATATCCTGGGGGACTACTACTACTACTACTACGAGAATATATACCCACTGTATTTTCTACCTTTTTTTTTTTTTATTTTCAATAGCGACATATAAAATAAAAAAAAAATTACGAACGATATATGTTCGTTTGGTCAAAAGTTACTTTATTGCGCGACTTTAAAATGAAATCAATAGAAAAAAATAATGCAACAACGTCGGATAAAAAAAAAAGAAGTTGGTTAAAGCGTGCAGAAAATACTTTCGAATTATTTCAAGAAATGCTCGATGCAAAATATGAAAAAGATTGTTTTACTTTTGCATTAAAAATAGGAAGGAACTTTTTTTTTTTACTATAGACTCACAGAGTAATAATCGAATTTAAAAGTCGAACAAAGGAAAATTAGATTTTCTCGACAAAGACGAGAGAGAAATCGAATCTGTCGAATTATCGATCGATTTACTTGAACTTCCGTGACTATCTCTCTCTCTCTCTCTCTCTCTAGCTGTTATTAATTAACATGATATACGCTTGAAGTATTCAAATGGACAGGTAGAGACACGATAGTGTGGAATGATGTTCGTAACGATAGGACCGTGTTCGTATTGTGGCATTCCCAATTAGCTATGATAAATTATACAGGATAAATTCGTTTCTCGCTTAAACTTCTGTCGTTATTACCATTATTAGTACTGTCGGCTATCATTATTATTACTATTTTATTTTGTATTACGATTATAACTAATATTATTCTTGTTATTATTAATATTATTATTAGCATCATCGTAATTGCTATACCGACATTTCTACAACTACCATATCTCGAATAAAACTAACGATATTTGTGTCGCTAGATTCGTGTGATAGCATATATCAGTGTGTAGGAGAATGGCATGAAAAGCGTTGATTTAATTAACACGAAAAACTCCTAGTCCTTGCATTACCGGAAAATGGCGCGTAATAACCCCCGGGTAATGCATCCATATTTTTTTCTCGGTGATTTTGCTCCGACACGTCGACAGAGATCAATTTTGCTAGAGTGTAATATTTGCCGATAATGAAATTAAAACAAGACAGACAGACAGAGAGAAAAAGAGAGAGAGAAAAAGAGAGAGAATGAGAACCAACCAATGTTCAATCCTATTGAAATCCTCTCTCTCTGCATTTTCCTTTTATATATGTAAAACCGTATCCTCGTTAGGTTAATTCCGCTCCAGTTCCGCTTTATGATTTTTTTTCTATTATTTCTCGTAATATTTGTGAGATCACGATGGTACATTCGTACAATACGAGTTGATAATTACACCTGATAAAGATTTTTTCGTTTTATTTGTAAAACTTTTTAAATGCATAACAAGAATATTATTCTTCCAAACGTTTGTTTAACAAATAGAACCAAAAAAAGGAAATAAAAAATAAATCATGCATCAAACTTTAACAGGCAAAAACTGACTCTCTCGTCATTGCGACATTTAATAATTGAAAGACTAGCCTCCACCCATAACTAAGATGTTAATAATCGTATTTCAAGAAAAATAAAAGAAAAATAGAAAGAAAGATGATAGATAAAGGTAAAAAATATCGATCAGTAAGCTGTGATAGGTCCTCACCTCCTTCGGTCTCATGCCAAACGATTCCCTCGAGCGTGACCGATGTGCCAGGCTCACAGGGTCCCAAACATTCGGGCTCGGTAATGGTCCCCACGCTGGTCCCAACACAAACGTCGGACATGTCCTGAAACATAGACGTTGGTATATCGGTGAGCTACGATTAAATGTATTCTACCATTGACTGTAATAGATGGTCGCTAGGTTTACAGGTTTAGCGGTTTCGTTTAGGGCTTTCTGCGGTTCGTAGATCGTCGATCAAGAGAGTACGGTGAAGAGAGGGGAACAGAGGGGAGGGAAGGTGATATACACAGAGAGAGAGAAAGAGAGAGATTGGGATGTAGATAGAACGATGAACATGCCGCGAGTTCGAGCCGCGGCTTTAAAAGCAATTAGAGGATATCTCTCACCAATTAACATTCACGCTGCCTTTCTCCTTTCTAGCGAGCGGAACGCGCAACTTGCAATATAGGAAACACGATTCGCGTAAGGTTGTTACAACGCCTAATTCGACAGAATCAACATAATTTATTTGAATGATTCTAACAACAATTACGATTATTTTCGTGTGACCTATCTTCTTCTTCTTCTTAATTAACAATTGAGGAGTACGCGTGATGATAATGTTTTTGTATTAAAAATGAAAGAGATTAAATAGTTATAAATTCGAGGATTTAATAAATATCACCAAGGGTGAAAAAAAAAGCAAAGGAAAGAAACTATTATAGTTAATAAGGTGGCTGGTTTAAGGGCATTCGGAAAGATAAGGGAGAAGAGAACCCTTTATGGCGCTGACATGGAACAGAATAGGAAGGGTGGGGGGAGACGAATGGAAAGCAGCGGAAAATTACAATGGCAGTTTGAAATGTAAATCGCAAAATTTATGCTTGACTTCCATAATTACAGAAGCGGTCTGCATTATCTTTCATAATGTGCATAGAATACACGCGAACCGGCCGACGTAATCGCATCGTTATTATGGCATGAAACTATTTCGCTGTTCGCGCCGCATGACGTTACTATGACGGGACTCTCTCGAGTGAGTAAGAAAGAAAAAGGGAGAGAGAGAGAGAGAGAGAGAGAAAGAGAAAGAGAGAAACAGATATATTCGAGGTAGATGGCAAAATGTAGAGGAGAACGTTTAACCGCTGAGTTTGCTATAGCGTGCGAATGAAAGAGAGACACGAGAGGAAGAATGAATGTAGAATGTAAAATAAGAGAAACAGAGAAAGAGAGACTTAGGTGAGATGCTTGCAAATGGCTGGGAATAAATAGAATCCGACACACAATGTGTATTACGTGTTACGAAGATGTTGATTCTCTTCTTCTTCTTCACCGATCTTGGCATGTCTGATAAATGTAAGAGTGATCTATATAAAAATAGCTTTTTTATCATTATCAACGAATGATTGATTTATGAGTCGTAGAAAAACAATCGCAGGAAAACCATCCTGTGCTACTATCAAACGAGCAATTATTATATAATTGCTTATACAATAATTGCTCCTTTCCGGATTCGGATGGAGTGATTTAACTGTGTCTCGACTTCGGGAAAATTTTATTCAAACGATTAACACGTTCGTTATCACGGTCTAGTTGATAGAAAAACTGCTGCCATACGCTATGGTTTCTTACTTACACTTGTCGCAGATATTGATTTATATACGTATAAACTATACTTAAGGTAGAATATTGTTCTATGTATAAATGTCGCGTATACATAGGTAACTAGACTACACATTAGACTAATGATAATTGATTTGTTCTATACGACTGTACATCTCATTTGTGATAAATATAAGTAAAAAGTGCTAATTAACAATGTCATATATATATGACTACACTTTCAAAACGAACCGGATTGTAACACATTTGTGACACGTTATTATTTGTCTACGAGAAAAATATGTATAACAAGAAACATATCGATATTTCAATTTTAACAAAAAGAACATAATGTATCGTTGAAAGAAGAACTAACGTGAAATATACAACGCAAGTACGTTGCCTTTTTTCGAATCAATATACGAAGCAAATCCTGTTATCTCTAGAAAATCCATGTAACCATTTCGTAATGTTCTATATAAAAAGAACTACAGAATATCATAGAAGTTACATCGGATATAATGTATTCGAAGAAAACAATAATAGTTATCTCAAACAACATGGAAAAGTTGCCAACGATGTTCACTCGAATAGTTGCAGATAAATTTCTTTATACTTTCTCATCCTCCTCCTCCTCCTTTATCGAGTAAACACGATGATTGGTTTTTCGAATATTACATATAAAACGAAAGAAAGAAAGAAAGAAAGAGAGAGAATTTTGATTAAGATTCGTTGGATGGTTTTCTGGAACACCCGACGTGTTATTACCTCGCGAGAAGCGCATTTCAAGAGATCCTTGTCGATATCGCATGACACGCATCGACCTATCGACATCAGGGACAGCAACTCGATCCTTTTATAGATAGAGAGAAAGAGAGAGAGAGAGAGAGAGAGAGAGAAGTAGAGGAAATATGAACTGCGATCGAACGAGAGTCCAACGTATGGCATTTCACTTTTGCTCTTTTTCTGTCCACCCCTCCTTTTTTTTTTTTTTTTTTAAAAAACCATTCACTCACTCTCTTTCCATCGTATCGTTATTATCGTTGAACAATTTATTTTACAGATGTATATTTCAAAATTGATACTTTCTATAAATGCAACTTCGAATCAATGATTATAACAACGAATATAGAAAATTAACGAATTAGTCTTCCCTTTTTTCCAAATGATAACATCTTATTAACGCCTCTTCTTAATCAACTCGCAGAAAATAAAACGTTCAACTTTCTACATCGTATAATTGTCGTTTAGAAATAATGAAAAAAAGTGAAAAGAGGGAATGAGAGAATGAATTAAGATAAGTTGGGGGAGAATCAAGTTTCGTCATTCGGTGTGCGTGCGATCGTAGGTTAATGAATGTGAGGAAGGTTACACATGAGGGTAAGAGAAAAGAAGGGTTGTAACTATTTTATGAGTTGTAATCTAAAGAGAGAAAGCACCAGCAGCAGCAGCAAGCAGCAGACCAGGTCGGTGGCTTTACTTGTACGATGGAAATGGAAGAAAAATGGGGGAGAAGTCGAGGTGGGTTTCGAGGAGGGCACAAATAGAAATATCAAATTGTAGATACGCGAGTACAAAAAGGGAGAAAGAGATAAATTGAGACAAAGGGAGAGAATAATATCGTATAAATGTGTGTGTGTGTGTGTTCTCGCAAATGTTAGTGTATAAGTTTAAGGGAGACAAAGAAATCGAAGGAAGAACGGTGGATAGAGTCGGTGTGTATTATAACAGGGCGGTAAACCGTCTTCAACTATTATGGTCGTATACACCACTGCCGTGTAATAAAGGTTTCCTATCTTTATTTTTTCTTCTTTTTCTTTTGTCTTTCTTTCTTTCTTCTTACCCTCCTTTTGCCGCAATTTGCTCGCAAGATAGCTCGAATAAAAAGAGAAATAAAAAAGAAAAAAAAGAAAAAAAAAAAAAAAAAAAAAAAAAAAAAAAAAAAAAAAAAAAAAAGAAAATCTACGAGGAATATAAACGTAATTCTTTTTCTAAATTGAAATAATCGTGTAGAATTCGAGTAAATTTAAGATAGACAAATTTGATTATCTCGATAGCTATTCATTTACTTGCGGGTACTTTAAAATAATAAGGGAAGGGAAATTTGGAAAGGAAAAAACTAGGAAGATTAGGATCGAGGAATACGTTAAAAGGCCGGTTGGTGGTGGGGTATAGATAAGAATGAAAAAAAGATTTTCGATGATGGGGAAGATAAAAGGATCTTAAGCTCGAAGGAGAGAGACAGCTTTACGAGGGTCGCAAGATAAACGAGGAGGGGAAGGTACGAGTCAATCCAGGTTCTTTTCAACGAAGGAAGAAAAGGAAGAAATTCTCCTTTCGAAGGTAGGTAGAGCAACGAACGTGAATCGGGGACTCCACTTTCGGTCGATGGATAATCGCACGGTTTCAAATCTTTCTCCGATCTTTTTCTGTTCGAATAAAAACTCTGAAATTTAATCCCAGCTGCTGCTGTCGATCCGTAAAGGGGACCTGGTTACTCGACAAAAAAAAAAACAAAAAGAGAGAGAGAGAGAGGGAGAAAAAGACAGATTATTAATTTAATTATACAATCTCTAAGGATGAAACAAAAAAATAGAAAAACCAAAAATTCGAAAAACGTCATTTCGCGAGACAACAAAATGGTGACAGAGGGGAATAAGATAATCTAAAAATCCGATCTGGCACATTTTTATCCTTCGATACGGAGAAAATAAAGATTAAAATAAAATGCAAGAGATGTGTGTGAGAGATTACAAAAGAAAAAAAGAAAAAAAAAATGATAAAAGGAAGAGAAGGAATGACACAAAGAAATGAGAGAAAGGGATATGCATGTATAGGTAAATGTTGATAAAGGCCAAATATACATATATAGGAAGGGAGATAGATAGAGAGACAAATAGATGAACCGATAGATATAGCATAGGTAAGAGGTAAGAGACGAGTGGTTGCGGCTATGAGGGAGAGAGAATATCTCGGCGCCATGTTTCCTCTCATGAATATATTCATGCAAGAGACTGCATATGTAGGTATTAGGCCAGCATCCCCCTCCCTCCACCCGCTGTACGCGAAGCTAGTTAACAAGTACATAACGCCATACACACAGGGCACGTTAATTCCATGCGTGATAGACGCTTTGCTCTACGCACATACACACACACGCCAATTCGGATGAAGAGACTTACGCGAGTAAACTTTTAACGTAAATTAACAACTGCGGCATAGCGCGAATGTTATGTGGTTTTTAAGTAGTATTTATATATATCTTAATTAGATCGAGCTAAACGGTTCGATTTTAAATTCATCGTAATTCGTATGTACGATCAAACGTATATAAATAATTATAGCAGGCATACACGTTTAACAGTTTTTATTATAAGAATTTTCTTTTTTTCTTCCTTTCTTTTCTTTTTTGAATAATCAATCGAATTAAAATCGATATATTATAGCTTTTCCGTATCATTTTCGTGAAATGAGTTCCACGAACGATTTACTTATCCCGATCTAATCAACATATTTTACATC